GCACAGTTCAGAGATTTTAGAAGATTTATAGAGTTGTGCAGCCATCACCACAGTCCAGTTTTAGAACATTGCCACCATCTCTCGAAAGATGCCCTTGTGCGCGTTTGCAGTCTAATCCCTGTTGCCGTGTTCCAGCCACAGGCAGTAACCATTCTCCCTGCTGTCTCTATACATTTGCCTTTTCTAGACCTTTCATATACAAGGAATCGTACAGTGTCTTTTATGTGTGGCATGATAGTTATGAGGTCCATGCATGTTGTAGCAGTTTTGAGTAGTTCAGTCCTTTCTGTTGCCAAATACTGTTCCGTTGTGTGTCTGTACCGTGTCTGCCGCCTCCATTCATCAGTGGATAGATTGGAATTGTTTCCAGCCTGGGGGAATATTATTATGGATACTATTATTATGAAATACTGTTATGAATAATGCTGCTATAGACATTCACGTGCTTATCTTTGTGCAGAGTATGTATTTATTTCTCTTAGGTAGCTTCTAGGAAAAGAATTGCCAGATCATAGGATAAATTTACGTTTAATGTTTTAAGAAACTTTCTAATGGCATTGCAATACGACTGTGCCAGTTTGCTCTCCCGAGCCGTGCACGAGGATCGCAGTTTCAACGCATCTTTGCCTGCACTTGGTGTTGTCTGTCCTTTCTGTGGCAGCCATCGGAGCGGATGTGAAGTGGTGTCTCTTCACGGTTTCAGCTTGCCTTTCCCTGATGGCTAGTGACATTGAACACCTTTTTGCTTGCTCACTTCTAGGCTGGGATTTGACTTTTAAAGCCAGAGCTTGGCAAACCTTCTCTATAAAGGGCCAGAATAGCAAATATTTGGGACTTTGCGGGCCACGTTTGATTTCTGTCACATGTTCTGTGTGTTTATTTTCCTTCACAACCCTTCAAACACGTAAGACCATCATGGTTTCGTCGTGTAAAAGCAGGTAGAGGGCTGGGCTCGGCCCACGTGCTGTCGTTTGCCAAGCCTGCTTTGTGCGCCACACCAGGTCACGTGCCCGGCCACAAGGCAGTTCCAAGGCCCCTGTCCGCCCCCGCCTCAGAGGCATCCAGGGCCTGTGGGGGTCCATGCTAGACAAACCACGGGGCCACCCGGCCGCGTGGGCTTGGCAGGAGGGCCATCGTGCAAGCCTGGCGTCGGGATTCCGGGGGCGTCCTTGTCCCAGCCCCACCGTGATTCATTGCCTGATGAGCGCATCAGCGTTCCTGGGATGAGACATGCTGATCTGTCACCTGAGGAGGGGGTCCTGGGCATTGTTGATCCTGGACAGGCCTTCCTCTCCCCTGTGGCCGTCCCATTCCAGGGCTCAGAGCCTCCTCTGGGGACAAGGGCCTGTCTGCACCCTCCGTACCTGTGACACTGCAGCCCGCCCTCCACCCTCTAGTGGCCTGGTCTTCACCCTCAGGGCCTTGTGGGTTTGTCTTGGCTCTCGCCCTGTGCCACCAAGCATTCTTGACACCTTCAGTGTCCCCTGGCGAATCTGTCCCTCCTCTGCACCCACCTCCACCAGCCCGCACTGATGTGCTGGAAGGAGCTTTGGGGTTGGCCAGAGCCAGGTTTGACTCCCGCATTGTCCCTTTCTAGCCGCTTCACTCGGGACAAGTCATGTCCCCCCTCGAGCCACGATGGCCTTCTGTGTAGGGAGGTGCTTGCCGTGCTGCGTCGGAAGCTGCAGCCCCGCGCACCCTCGCAGCATGGCTCTGCCACCCTGCCTGCGCACGTGGGTTTTCCTGTCTGTGGGTTCACTGCGGTCTGAACACAGGACAGGCGCAAGTACTGGGAAGGTAAGCGCGCCGGTGGACAGACGCCCCGGCCGCCTCGCTCCCTGGGTGGTCTACCCCGAGGCGTGTCTGCACTGTCCCCGGGTACCCAGCAGGCGTGAGCTCCCGTCGCCCGTCCCCTGGCGCTCAGCAGTGCCCCGTTTGCTGACCGTCTTCTCTTCCGTCTCACTTCTCCGCTGTCCCCTCCGGGGATTCCTGTAATCACTTCGCAAATCAGTCAACCATTTGCACTCAGTTCCCGAGGATGTGCCGAGGGGGCTTCGCCTACGACAGGTGTCCAGCTGCTAGGTGAGGAGTGAGCGAGGACGTGCCCAGTGGATGTCAGCCCTCGTCACAGCCGCTGGGACCTTGTGGTTTCAGTGTAGCCTCTGTGAACTCTTTCCCGTGGGTGCCTCTGAGGCCAGGGCCGGGCGCCCGTAGGAAAGCTGTTGTCCTCCTGCGCTAAGGAGAGGAGCCGTTGGTGAGCGCCAGGCGGGCTGCAGCGGTGACAAGAGCTCATCCCTGAAGCCGCGCGGGGTGCAGACACTGCCCTCAGGCCCTACTCGGCCTCAGGCCGGCTCGCGAAGTCCATGTGCGGAGAGCAGGAGGTTGGACTCACAGTCCCCAACCCCGCAGGCTAGTCATATCTTGCAAAGTTTAAATGAGAGTTGGCTCAAATGATATCCGCCAAATATTAACGGTGGCTATTTCTGGGTTGTGGGATTTTTTTAGGCCTTTTTAAATATATCTTCTTTGTGCTATTCGGTATGGTTTAAATTTTTCACGATGAGCATGCGTCATCCTGACAAAAAGAATGAAGTGTTATTCTTTGAAAAGTAAATAACTTGCAGCTGATCAGAAGGGAGCACACTTAACCGGGCTCTACTATGGGAGGGCCTGGGTGTGGATCGCGATGGTTTTCTTGGGGGCTGAAGGTATGGTGAATTTTTTGTGATCATTTCATGGTCATTTAAAAAATTGAGGGCCGGGCGCGGTGGCTCACGCCTGTAATCCTAGCACTCTGGGAGGCCAAGGCGGGCGGATTGCTCAAGTTCGGAGTTCAAAACTAGCCTGAGCGAGACCCGTCTCTACCATAAAATAGAAAGAAATTAATTGGCCAACTAATATATATATATATAAATCAGCCGGGCATGGTGGCTCGTGCCTGTAGTCCAGCTACTCGGGAGGCTGAGGCAGGAGGATCGCTTGAGCCCAGGAGTTTGAGGTTGCTGTGAGCTAGGCTGACGCCATGGCACTCACTCTAGCCTAGGCAAGAAAGCGAGACTCTGTCTCAAAAAAAAAAAAAAAAAAAAAAAAATTGAGCAATTCTCCGAGCACAAGCTAAATCCATAGACTGCAGGGCTCAAAGGAGCATTTGTCTCTGGGAAGGGTTGGGTTCCAGAGAAGCCTCGGTGGACTGGGTGTGTCTTGACATTAAAGTAATTGAGTGCCACAGACAGTCACTGTCACCAGCGTCACCATCAACAGCACATTGACTCTTCGCTAAACACTCACCCCCGACAGGACTTGCCATGCGTTTCTGCTAGTCCCGCAGGATCTAAGAGGACAGGCAAGTGAGTGTTTCTGCTCTTCGCCTCCGCCCTGCTAGGCCTCCGGGAGGAGCTTGTCCCTTTCTAGTTGTTGGTGTGGAATGGGCAGACGGGTAGAGAACAGGAGACCAGGGAGCTGCAGGCGGGACGGCAGGGAGAGCAAGTTAGTGGATGAAAGACCGGGACAGTGGGAGAAAGAAGAAGGAAGAGGGGGGAGAGGCGGCAGGAAAGGTCTGGGACGATGAGGAGGGGCAGTGTGCGTTCACGTGGGGACGGGCCGGGGAGCAGGCAGGTGGCTCGGCAGAGTGCGGGCCGGGGTGGTGGAGAGGAGACAGCACGCCGTGTTGCCTCGGTTTACACGTCTGGGTCCTTTAAGTTTCTCAAAGGAGACGGCTCGAGTCTCAGAGTCCCTTTTTGTTAGTGTTGGCAGTTTTACTTGGACTGTGCTTTGTGTGCAGAACGGACCGCATGGGTCATGGCTGGTGAGGGTCACAGGTTGGAAGAGGCTGCAGGTGTTTCATGCCTAATTCACGGAAGGGGGACCGCAGGCTCAGCGGGTGAAATCTTGGTAGGAGGAACCAAGTCTGTCTGACTCGAGTGAACCTCCCATCCCGCCACAGTGTGTCACTCTGTTCCCGTGGGTGTGGACTACGTCCCCCCAAATACTTCCTTTATAGCACCGGGTCCCAAGACCACTTTGTCATGTTTAACTCAGAAACTGAGTGGCACGGAGCCTCGCTTTGAGCCTCCGCAGCCAGCGGGGACCCTCACCCCCCTTTTCCTCCTTCCCTCCTTCTGACTTGGCTCGGAGATTGTGACATGTCACCCCAGCTGGCTGCTGGTGTGGTGACAGTAAAATGAGGCTGTCCCCAAGGGGCAGAGTACTTAATGAAGGAGTTCATCCAGTTAGGAAGAGTCTCCCAAGCACGCCGGGGCTGCAGCGGGCAGATAGCTGCAGAGGCGCAGATGGGAGGGGACACTTGGCCCGGACCTCCGCCTGCCGAGGCCTCTGTTTCCATGATGTCAGAGAGGCGGAACTAACGCCGCCTCAAATCCAGGGAGGCAGCAGCCCCTGTCCCAGCCGCCCTCTGGCTTCGGACGTGGCGCCAGGCGAAGGTGAGAAGGCTCCCATCTTGTCACCAGGTGGATGTTGAGGGCAGCGCTGGGTTTCCTGGGGGCCGTTTGGGCCCCATCCCCACCGGCTGGAGTTGAGTTCTGGGCGCCGCACCCGTCTGTCGTGTTCTTTAGCTGAACAGCCCTCTCCAAGGGGCCTCTTAGGATCAGCGTGAGCGGGAACAGTTCCTTCAGCTCAGCGAAAGCCCCGTCGTGGGCCATGAACGTTTCCACTCTTACTGCAGTTGGATACTCGGGGAATAAGTCTGGCAGAAGACATGAGCTGAAAACAGAATCTCTTCCTTCTCTGTTTTAAGTCATCGGGAACAATGTGGGAAATGAGTCTTCTAGGCCTAGCTGTCTGCAAGCACACCTGGGACTTGGGACAAAACTCGTCCTTCCTTCGGGTGTCAGTTTCCCCGAGACGGGAGTGGTCCAAGTGCACAGTCCCGGGGCCTCCTCCACCTGGCGCGTCTGACTCTGTGATCGTCCTGTCTCTCGCCTTGCACTTCCACCCTTGCCGCGTCAGTAACGTGTCCGTGTCTCTTTCTCTCTCCCGACCAGAAAAAGATCTACAAATACAAGAAAGTGCTGAGCAACCCCAGCCGCTGGGAAGTCGTCCTGAAAGAGATCCGGACTCTGGTGGACATGGCCCTGACCTCCCCGCTGCAGGACGACTCCATCAACCAAGCCCCGCTGGAAATCGTCTCGAAACTGCTCTCGGAGGTGAGGCGCCGCCCTCCCGTCCCCGTCCCCGTCCCCGTCCCCTTGTAAGGTGCGTGCCTTGACCTCTGCTGAGCAGCGCACGTGAGCAGAGCTCCACTCGGGTTTGCATCCTGTCCCTGTTGCTGAAGGAGGTGAGCAGTGTCCCACCCAGCGATCGGGGAGGTGCCAGGCGTGGTGCGGGGCCCGGGAGTCCATCTCAGCTTCCCCCAGTGCTGGCCGCGCCACCCCCGTGACCACCCACCGCCTACGGGTATGCTTTGTGTAACTCACAAGGGATTTTAAAAATCAGAAGATTTCACAAGAAAATGGGAATTTCAGGCTTCTGTTTAAAAACAATCAGAAAATCCAGCTGTAATTTGTGGCTGGCACCACCCATTAGCCGTGGGTGCCGGGTGCTGTTTGGGGTGTTCGAGTAGAGATGAGCCCCCTGCCCTGCTGGAGCTTGTGCCCCAGCCGGAGAGACGGGCGCGGAGCAACGGAACTTCATCCCACTTCGGGTTAGGCAAGAGGTGCTTCAGAATCATATCTCTTTCTGCTATTCTGGGCCTTTGCCATTAATACTTCTCTCGTTTATTTGCATGCGTGGCCCTCTGGGGACATTGGGCTTGATGACTCTTGATTTAAACTGTGCACAGCCGCCCGAGTGACGCTTCTGTCCCCCTCCCCTGAGAGTGGCACCCAGTCCCTGAGTTGCTCCCAGCAGACTCCCGCATGAGTGCCCTGCTGCCTGGGGTACGTCTGTCCCTGCAGGCCCAGGCCTGTCACTACCCATCTGTCCAGGGACCTGGCACAGGCCCACCTTGTCTGCTGAACGGAGAGGGTCCCTCGCCCAGAGATGAGGCGGGGTGAGAGGTAGACAGTGCAGATGAGGAGAGGGAGACCCAGAGATACCAACTCAAGTGGCAGGTCTGTAGTGGACACACCAAGCTCTTTTATTTCGAGACTGATCTGCCCCCCACCACCCCACCCCCGTTTCCACCAGGCTGGGCCACCGTCACACCCTCGCTGGGTCGGATAGTACCCAGAGTGGCAGATGTGCCTGTTGCCAGCCTCTGGCGGGATTTCTTTCATGTCCTTTCTTGGGATTTAAAGTAAGGATCCCCAAGTTAGCTGCCCCCCAAGTGCTAGGACGGAGGAATAAAGACAAAGAAAGAAAATGGAAGAAGTCTCCCCCCCCCCCGGCTGTGCATCTTCTGTGCGACAGGCAGGCTTCTGTGTTACTGGCCTGTTTCTGCTGCTGACAGCTGGCGTTTGGTGAGGGGCCAAGCTGGGACTGCAGCCCAGGCGGACCGACCCGGCACCCGCTCCCACGAGGCTTGATGCCTCTCCCAGTGGCCCGAGCATTTTCTTGAGCACATATTCTGCGACCGACACTTCGAAAGGCCCTTAGACCTGCCCAATTCCCCCAAGCACCCCGCAAGGGAAGTATTAAAATGTACAGAGGGTTAACGGGGTGCGAGGAGGCCGAGCGGCTCTCCCGGGGTCACTCAGCTAGGGCCGGGACCCACGCCCAGTCTGCCCGGTCACACAGCACACGCTCCTGCACACGGGTGTGATGTGAGCCCGGGTTGGTGGGGACTGTGTAGTGCGTGTGTCGCTACAGAGAGGAAGAGTGTGCTGTGGGGTCAGAGAGACCTGGCCCTGCCCCCGCTGCATGGCCTCGGATGGCTTGCTGGGCCTCTCCCTACCCAGGTGCCGTCTGTAAGTTGGGGCTCAGACTAGTACCCACTTCATCGAATGGAGGATGGGACACTCTAATGCACAGAAAATGCTGGGCACTCACCTGACACCCGGGGCTTTTGCTAAGTGGGTGCGTTTCCATTGTCATGGGAGACCTCGGCTGTGGTCTGGACCCCAGAAGCAGCCTCAGCCACTTGTCTGGCTGGAAAACAAACACACCCTCCCACCTTCTTGCCCTTTTTTGTTTCCAGTATTGAGGGTGAGGTTCTTCCTCTGCTCTTGGTACTCAGAGTGCTTCCAAGGCCGCCTCTGGCTCCAGGTATCGCCAAACCCACCGAAGGTTCTGGAAGGGAGGGGGCATCGTGGGGCAGCTGTTTAGGTGGCAGGACAGTTCTGAGAAAGAGCTGTTTGTTCGCCAGCAAAGCCAAGCCGGATGTCCCCAGCTTCCTCCCAGGCCTCGTGGAGCTGAGTGTGTGGAGTGGCCACTTAGCCTGAGATTCAAGAGCTCCCTGTCACCCAGGGCTGCTGGTGAGCACTGTCCACCTGCAGTCACAAACGGTCCTGGTTAGGGGGAGTCTCCTGCAGAATGCACAGCTGCCCCCATGACTAGGACAAAGGGCATGGCGTCCACGGTCACCAGAGACTTTCAGGAAAGGTACATGTGTAGGGGTGACGGTCGGGCCGGTCCCTTCGGAGCTTGAAACATGGCACTGCCCCCTGCATGCATGGAGCTGTAGCTCAGTGGTTGGAAATACGGGCTTTGGAGTCAGGACAGAGAGGGGTGCAAGGCCCCAGTCCACCACCTGCCACTTGGGCACCGGGAGTGACTGTGCCGGCAGCGTGTGGGAGCTCGTCATCAGTGGGACAGTAGGAGAACCTGTCACAGTAAAGAAATCATGGAATGAGCGCAGCAAACCTTGCACAGCGAGCTCATCGTCAGGCCCAGACCATAGCTGGGCTTTGATTGTCCCCAGGCTGAATGGTGACTGATACGTAATAATCCATCATAAACTGGCGCTCAGACTCTACTAAAGTCCACAAAAGGAAAAGAGGTTTCTGGACGCAGGGCACCACGGGTCAGTCCTCACCCAGATCAGGTGTCTGGTGGGGACGTGTGGAGACTCGTGCTGATCGGACACTGAGCCGGTTCCGTGGCCTCCCCCCGGCAGCAGGCGGCAGCGTGGTGGGCAGAGCACGCTCTCGGCTCACTGGCTGGTCTTTGGCCGCAGCTGCTGTAGACACGTTAGAAACCGCCATGCCCCTGAAACCCGGTCAGGTGGTGGGAGCCGGGGCTCTTTCCAGAACATTGGAGCCATAGATCTTGCCAACACCGTTCACACGAGGCGTCGCTGTACAGCCAGCAGACGAGGCCGTTAGGAAATTCGAGCTGACACCAGTGAAGCCCGCATCTACCAAAACAGACAAAGCGGCACACCACAAAACAAGCAGGAAAGACAACAGTGGCTGTTTGTGTTCCCACGATCCCTCCCCTCCTCGTTCACACACTCACAGGCTAGTGACGCAGGTTGAGCATCCCTAACCCAGAAATCCAAAATGCTCCGAAATCCAAAACGTTTTTGGACACCAACATGACACTCAAAGGAAATTCTCATCGGAGCGTTTGGATTTGGGATTGTCAGATTAGGAATGTTCAACTGGTAAGTATAATGCAAACATTCCAAAATTTTCAAAAATCCAAATTCTGAAATACTTCCAGTCCCACGCATTTTGGATATGGTATATTCGGTCTGTAACAGGTACCAATTGTTTAGGAAAATTCTAGATTGGAGAGGGAGGGAAAAAACTCTAAAATTTCAGCAAGCTTAATCTGTCCAACTAGTTTTGTTTTTGCAAATCAATTGCTAGAATTTAGCCAAAACCTCTTGGGTTCACTCGTGGAACACCAGTGTTCCCTGGGAACCTAGTTTGGGAACCACTGAAATAATGTACATGTTACTCCTAAAAGACTGCCTGGCACAGAGCTGAGACTCATCAAAGCTCTGCTTCTTTATCCCCGTTACTGAAACAGAAACTGAGTGTCACCGAGACGTAACTCATCCAAGGCCACACGACTGTCGAGCAGTGAGACAGAGACAAGGAACTCGGTCTTTCTCCCTCCCCCAAAGCTGTGCTTTGCCCACTTCCCAGCCTTGCTTTTGAGGGTGTTTTGATCTGTTTAATTAGGGAAAAGTGACAACCACACTTGGTCTGAGAGGCTGAACATGTTTGGAAACTGAGTGCACCTTGAAATCCACACGTTCAGCGTTCTTAATTCTGTTTCTTGTTTTCTTTTGTTTTCCTCCGGCTTTCCCCGACCCACCCTGCAGAACACGAACTTGACTACCCAGGAGCATGAGAACATCATTGTGGTGAGTTCCCCTCGGGCCCTGCCCGTCCGCCCTGCCCGGCTCCGGAGCCCGCAGCCCTTGCTCAGCCTGAGCCCGCCGCGGACGCGCCACGTCCCCTTCTTGCTCGTTCCCGTCTTTCCCGTGGAGCCAGGCAGGTCTCCCTGCTGCCTTCGCCCGTGTCCCAGCCCCGGCTGGCGAGGGTGTGTTGTCCGTCTTCGGGGTTCGTACAAACGTGCCTTGCTCGCCGCCTCCTTCCGGGGTCTGGCGCGGGGAGACCGTGCAATTTATTCAGAGGCACTTCCCCATTACCTGAAAGGAAAACCGTCTCCTTCTTGCCCCGGACATGTCTCCTAATCCATCCACAAACAGAACCTGGCTCTCACTCCCTCTGATACACAAAGTGAGATGATATTTTCTGGGACTCAACTATGATGTAAGCGTCTTCGGGGTAAAATGTCTTCCTGGGTGATTTGAAGCTATGAGACCGGAGTCTCGCTGGGGAGAAGACAGACATGAAATTGCACCTACTGGCCGCTAAGCACTGTGCCGTGCGCTTGAATCCCCAGATGACTGGGTCAGCTTCTGTCCCCGGGGAGTCACCCCGTACCATAGGAAGAGAAATGTGATCACCACAAACAGAGACACGTGGTGTAGAGAGTGATAAACTCCCCCGGGAAAGGGGCTGGAAAGCTTTCCAAAGGAGTGATGTCTGAGCTGGGTTTTGAAGGATCAATAGGAGTTCGCCAGGTGGCAAAACAGGGTGAAGGCATCCTGAAGAGGGGAATCAAAATACGCAAGGGCACAGGGATTTAAAGCAGTATGATATGATGTGTCCTAGAACTGTCAGCATTGCTGGAGCATAAAGCGTAAGGGAAGGGGAAGCAGGGAGATGGAGCTTCAAACGGAAGCACGAGGCAGAGCCTTGCGTGCTCAGGAGAAGACCTTAGAACCAGCCTGCCCAGGAGTTAACAGCTGCAGCCTACCAAACAAGAGCCACACCCAGTCACCGTGCCCCTGGCAAGCCCTGCCGGGAACTGTGTGCACGACGTTAGCTGAGCCCAGGCCTCTTGTGCAGAGTAAAGCCGCAGCTTCGGCCTTTACTCCCAGCTCGTGCCTGGCACGTGGCAGGTGCTCAGTGGGTGTTTGCTGAAGTCATAGAAGTTTCTTCCACGTTCCACCCTGGCCGTCCATTGCCTTCTCCTGCCACAGCAGGAGGACAAGTCAACCCGGGCACCCCCAATCACCCTTAGCACCCTTTTCTGGCATAATATTAATTAATCAATCCATTCAACAGACATTTGTTGAGCGTGTGAGTGTGCGTGTGTGCCAGGCACGGGCTCTGTCCCGCAGACAAGACAGAGAACAAGCTACGAGCCCTGCCGCTGAGGGTTTGCTGTGTGTTGGGAGAACCCGGCAGCTCAACAGATGATCAAAACTATGGCAAAGGGCTGAGGATTGTTCTGGGTGTCAGGGGGGCCCAGCGGGGAGACACTGAACCTCCTCTGTCAGGGAGGATGTTGGGAGGAAGATGACAGAGGACTTCTAGGAGGAGGTGACCAAGCTGAGCCAGCAAGGATGGATAGGAGAATGTCAGGTTAACAGATCAAGCAGGGAAAGGCGGTCCAGGCAGGGGGACCAGCGTGTGCAAAGGCAAAGTGGTAAGACTCTGGCTGGCACAGAACCAGGAGGAAATGTGAGTGCCCAGGAAGGAGGCGGTGCCCCCTCGCCCTGCCGGCGACACCTGTGGGTCCCACCAGGTGCCAGGTAGCACTGCAGGAGGGCTACGGCTTCACTTTCAGGACAGGCCTGGTAAAGAAATTTCGATCTAAGAAATGCAGGCTGCGTCTATCCAGCTAATTTGCCTGGAATGAACCCTTAATTGGGGAGGAATTTGACCTGAGGGTCTGACCCTCAGCCCTCCATTGCACAGCCCCTGGTTCAGTACTCGTGTTCCTATCGCTGCTGTCATGGTGTGGCATCTTCCGGAGCCTGCTTGCATTCCAACACTTACATTATCCTCTTTGCTCTATTGGCAATTAGTCTTCTCCCGATGGGGCTTGGTATTATGTATTGATTTTTCTACCATAGCTTGAGTAGAAAGTGGTCATTCCCTGGCCAGGCAGCAGTAACCGTTGGTTACTGGGCTGTCACTGAACGAGCACAGACCAGAGTCCAAACCCCAGCCGCGGCCCCACTCCCTGTGGGGGTGCTCAGAATGGAATGCGTGCGTAAAGCTGAATGCGGGGTCAAGTTCAGAGCCAAGTTCAGACCTGGGCCCACCGCAGAATGGCTGTGAGTTTGGGCGAGTAACAGCACTTGTGATATTATTTAATTTTATTTAAAATAGCTTTAAGTTTGCACGTTTCATGAGTATATTTTCATTGTAAAAAAAAGGATTTCAACTCATTCCAGCACCCGCTTCGGAGACATCCCCTGTTACAAACCATACAGACATGTGGTTGTGGTTTTAGTTTTGACATTAATGATGTGATGTTGTTCTGCATTTGTCTGTTCACTTAACAATATGTCTTGGAGATTCTTCCAAGTCATTTCATTTTTTTTTTTTGTCTTGGGGTCTAATTGAATTTTTTTTTTATTTTGGCATATTATGGGAGTACAGATTTTAAGGTTTCAATAAATGCCCTTTCCCCCCTTCATTTTTTATTTTTTTGGAGATGGGGTCTCACTCTGTTGCCCAGGCTGGAATGCAATGGCCAGATCACAGCTCACTGCAACCTCGACCTCCTGGCCTCAAGTGACCCTCCTGCCTCGGCCTCCCAAAGTGCTGGGAGTATAGGTGTGAGCCACGGCACCTGGCCTCTTCCAAGTCTTTTTGTATATATCTACTCCAGGGTTTCTCACCCTTGGAGCTAGCGACAATTAGGGAGGGATAATTCTTTGTTTCGGAGGCTGTTCTGTGCATTGTCAGGTGTTTAGCAGCATCTCTGGCCCCAGTTCACTAGATGCCCATAACACACCCTTGTTGAAACAAAGGTGACTCCAGACATGTCAGTTACCTCCCCCGGTGCAAAATCCCTCCCAGTTAAGAACCACTGGTCTACCCTCATTCTTTCTAAGTGGCTCTAGAATAGTTTTATTTAACCAGATGACCATTCCGATGGTTTCCAGCCAACTTAATGCTCTAAACCTCAAGTCTTCTCATCTGTGAAATGGGTATAAAAAAAAGAACCTTTCTTACCAGGCTGATGGGAACCAGGTTACATGAGCTGATGCACCTAACATGCCAAGCAGAGGGCCAGGCTATTAGAAAGATTCCACAAAATATAAGCTTTTTATTTTTCTACTGTACATTTAAAAATTATCATCACTCTGTGGCCAGGGCAGGCCTGGTAGCCTCCCTGACCCTCTGTCTCTTCATCCGTACAAATGGAAATTACCACTTGACCTCACAGGTTGTCCTGAGGGTCAAATGAGGTAACAGCCAAGGGAGCACCAAGCCCATGCCTCACGCCCACTGTAGGCGCTTCATTAGTTCCCACCCTTTTACCCTTTGACTCATTCCCATAAAAAGGGGAGCCCGGTTTGTAGGGGATTGAAGGGACTCAACCCAGGGGGACCGCACCCTGCCCAAGGTCCTCCCCCGCCCGCAGCTGGTCCCAGGGCTCGGTCTGGGTAGGGGAGCCCGCCCGCCTGGCAGTGACTCACAGGCTGGGAGGGGCCACCTGACCCGCTGCCGCTGCCACGGCCTGACCTCTTCCTGTGTTTACGGGCCGGCCGTGCAGGGTTCCTGGCCGCAGAGAGGAGGGCGGCTGGCACACGGGGGGAAGAGCGGGAGGGAGAGGGAGAGCAGACCCCTCGCGTGGGCTTGGATGTGAGCGTGCAGAGCCGCGCCTCGGGCCTGGCCTCCTTTTCCATGTTTTGCTTTCCTTCGTTGCCCGGTTTCTCCTTGGCAATGTAGCCGGTGCAGCCAGGCAGGCCGTTTGTTTCCCGGTCGTGTGGAGAGCCGGGGCTACGTACTAACCAGTCGTAGCTCAGGCTCTGGACTCGCGGACGTGGGTTCAGGTTCTGGCTCCACCACTTTGTAGCTGTGCAACCTCGAGCAGCTGACTTAACCTCTCTGACCCTTGGTTTCCCCTCCTAAAGGGGCAACACTAATGCCCACCCCCGAGCAAGCAGTAAAGATTAAGTCACATAGTGCAGCTGGCACAGAGCTGGGCACACGGAGTGCAGACGACACTGCTACACACGAAGGTCCCCGACTTTACAGTGGTGCAAAAGCAACATGCACGCAGCAGAAACCGCACTTCAGATTTTGAATTTTGACATTTTCCCGTGCTGTTGGCACGCAGCACGATACCCTCGTGATGCTGGGCAGCGGCCGCGAGCCGCGGCGACCGACACTGCGCAGTGTGCTGTGTCGCCAGGCGATTTTGCCCAGCTCTTGGCGCATGCGCGTGTCTGCGCACATTCGAGGTAGCCTGGGGTAAGCTCTGAAGCTCGGTGGTTTGGGCGTGGTCCGTGCATCTCTGACTTACGATGTTTCCCACTTACGCCGGGGTCAATGAGGACGTGACCCCCCTGTCATAAGTCAAGCAGCGTCTACTGCCTTTGGCTGTATAGTCATTGGTCCCTGCGGCTGCGGGGGCGTGAGAGTCCGTAGGGCTCGCCCTTTGCAGAAGGCGAGGAGGCTGGGTGACACAGTCGGAGGCTCACCGCCACCCCCGCCCACGCCGCCCAGCGGAAATAACGACAGCAGCGTCATTTCTGTGTCCGCGCCATCCAGTCCGGTAGCCGCTAGCTCCATGAGACTATGGGGCATTTGAACTGTGGTTGGCGCCAGTAAAGAACTCTATTTTTAATTTTAGTTAAAACCGTGTGTTTCGTGTCGATTAAAATGTAAGTAGCGCCTGTTGCTGGTGGCCATGGTCTGGGCGGCGCAGGCCTGGGCAGGGGTGGCGGGGCCCAGCCGCCGGCTCCGTGCGGCAGCCCTCCTGCTGGCGCTGGGAGCAGAGGCACGGCCGCGTGAGTAACGGGGCAGCTAACTCGTCTCTCACTGGTGTCCAGTCACGCTTTCCGTTGCAGAGTGGTTCCGGGAGCAGCAGAAGGCCTGGCCAGGCTTGGCAGGAAATGAATTCAAGGAGCATTTGATGTTCTCGCTTCCTTAATATTAATAAAGCAAAGTGTGTCTGGAGACATATTGATTGTCCCAACTGGGAGGGGGTGCTCCTGGCACCTAGCGAGTCGAGACCAGGGACGCTGTCCACCCCCTGCCCTGTGCAGGCCACCCCCCCCCAGATGCCATCCCCAGTGAGGGCTGAGAAACCGGCCAAGTCCCTCCCGGGGACTCTGGGGGCCCACTCGCCAGGTGAGGGAGCCGAGGTTAAGAGAGATGAAGTCACGTGCTCTGACAGTCACACTGTGCTCTGACAGTCACACTGTGCTGTGACAATCCCGCCGCTGGGAAGTGGCAGCATCAGCATCTGTGCTGGGGACTCTGCCCCAGCCTGCACTCATCACCTGGTGTCCTGCCTCCTGGTCAGGGGGACATGGGTGGACGCCAGCAGGTCACGAAACCCTAAAAGTGTGCACATCGTTGTGGGTGCGTGTCTTTTGTATTTTTCTGGGGGACGGTTCGGAGCTTTCACCAGCTTCTCACTGGAAGCCATTCCTCCCCCTCCCAAAAAAATAAAAACAGTTCAGGCTCCCTGGCTACAAATTCAAAACGGGCCTTTCCTGCCCTAAGGGTGGCAGGGAGGCTGTGTCTTCCATTGTGAGTCCCCCTTCTCTGCGGAGCCCCCACGCGGCCCCCTCGCAGTCCCTGCGGAGAGATGCGACTGGTCACTTGTTCCTTGTCTTGCAGGCGATTGCTCCTTTGCTGGAAAACAACCATCCGCCGCCAGACCTCTGTGAATTCTTTTGCAAGGTATGGCGCGGCGGAGGCGGGCGGTGTTTGCGGGAAGTAACCTGCTGCTGTGCGTACACGGTGGGGGGAGGCGGGGGTGGCTTTGGACAAAAGGCTGCAAACCCAGGCCCCACAGATTCATCTCAGGGTCCGGGACACAGGCAGGGTCGTGCCGGGCACCCGTTCTCTGGTCACAGCACCTCTCTGCCGGATAGGCAGTCAGGGAGAGCCTGGGTCCCAACCGGGGGCATCTGGCTTTTCTCTGGAAGAACTCAGGGCTGTCCTGGGAGACAGAGTGCAGCAGGGTTCGGAGCCCTGGCGTCAGAGCCGGGTTATTATTAGACGAGGCTGCTCCGCGCACGGCTGGCCCATGGCGGGGTGCAGCTGTGGGCTTTCCCTGAGCGGGGCAGCAGCAGGCCGTGCCCGGTCAGCTTGGAGGAGCCTCGAGGCTGCGCTCCATGCCCCGGCCTCAGCGCCAGCCTCCCAGTGAGGCTCATGCAGGACTTGTTGGGGACACATCGGGGGCCAGGCACTCCCCCCTTCCTAGAGCACATCTCAGCCGCCGCATGGGAACCGGCGCACAAATCCGTTTTGTTCTTTGCTATGAGATTTGGTTTTTCAGGGTACTAATGTGACGTCCTTGGAGACACACGTGGCCTGAGTCCCCCCCCCCCCAAGGCCCCCCACCTCCCCCCGCCCAACCCCAACCGCCCTCCCCCCCCCCAACCCCCAACGGCCCCCCCCGCCAAAGCCAAAACCCGGTCCCCCGGAAGGGCCGGCCCGGGCCCACAACCAAAACAACCCCGAAGGGGGAAAACCAACAACAAAAGAACAAAGGGAACCGAAACCCCGCCCCTGTCCCAGGGTCCCCTGAGTGTCAGGAGTCAGGACTGTATGGTCCCCTTTGACCCACACACCTGCTGGCCTGAGGTGCCCAGGGTGCGTTCCAGGGCCGGGAGCACGCCGCGGCCACTCCGAATGCGGCGTACGCAGTGTGCGCCGTCTGGTCCAAGTGGGGGCGCACACACACACAGGGGCGCAGGCTCCTTAGGGCACAAGAGGGGACCCCTGCGCCCCCAGAGCTCATGGGTATCATGTCCCCGGCAGAGGGGATTGGACAGCCCGGCGTGTGGGCTCTGAGAGGAGGTGCCACAGCGAGTCGCCTCCTTTCTCGACAGTCTCTCCAGACTCCTCCACGTCTGCCTCTTTTCTCCTCCCAGGCTCAGGGTTTCTCTCACGCCTCCTGATTTCAAGCTTTTGTTCTAGAACAGTGGGCCTTGGTTCACAGCATATCTTATTACCTGGGGGGTCCTGGTAGCAGGTTGGAAAAGGGCGAGCTAGAAAAAACTACCATTTTGGGGTCCCCTGCTACAGTCCCTTGCGGGTGTCAGAGCAGAGGGAGGGGGTCCCAACCCCGGGGATGCCGGTCCTCTGGCCGCTTTCCCTCTGGGGGGCGGGGCCCAGGCAGGAGAGCGAGAGGGGACAGAGTCTGTCCCCCTGGGCCCGCACTGGCCCTCTCTGGACCCAGCAGGCAGCCTCTCCTGCCAGACTTCGAGGCTGAACCCCCAGATCTAAGGAAAGTTTATTCATCTTGCTTTCCCAGGAAAGCCCTGATTTCAAGTATGTCGGGTTCGCTGTCCTCACGCAGGGCTCGAAACTGCGCTCCCGTGGACGCCCGGCAGGCTGTAAGGGGGTGGGACAGCAGGGGCTGGTGGCCTTGCCTGCTGGGCCTGAGGCCGCCAGTTCCCTGGGGGGAAGCAAGCACTCGGCTGGTGAGGAAGGTGCGTCTGGCGCCGGATTCGGCTGCAGGCGCTACCCAATGATTAAAGCCAACAGTCAAAAAGCCACAGAACTTTCAACATCCTGGTGTCCAAACGCTAAAACCTCAGTGTCCTCATACCCGATTTTCAAGGCCTTTCAGGCCAGGCTGCCGCGTCTTAGTCTACAGGAGCCGTGGTGTATATTAACTGAGGATCGTGTCCGGACGGACTCCCGCCCCTGCCATTTGCGACAGTCTCAGACTCCAGCACAGTGGCTGCCAGAAAAAGAAAATTTTTTTCTCTGGGGCCACGGTGTTTTATTACGAAAATAGGATAAAAACTTTGAAAACAAAGAAGCCCTTTCTGACTTAATGAAAAATTTGTTATTTTTTATCATTTTCTGTGCGTGAGTTATGTGCAACTTGAGAGACAGTTCACGTGGCTCAAGATAGAGACGCGTGAGTTACATACGCTTCACGAAGCCCCGGGTGAAAGCTAGCATGAGTTCTATACACATGGCAGTCAGTGTGTTAAGATCAAAACAAAAAGCAAACCAAAGATCCCATCCTGTTCACTTGTGTCACTCCAAAAAAAAAAAAAAACCTGGGGCATTCCTTGGTATTTACCCAAATGTATTAAATACAAAAACCTGCACATGGATGTTTATAGCAGATTTACTCATGATTGCCAACGCTTGGAAGCAACCATGATGTCCTTCAGTAGGTGAATGGATAAATTGCAGAATATTATTTAGTACTAAAAAGAAGTGAGCTGTCATGCCATGAAAAGACAGGAGGAACCTTAAATGCATGTTACCGAGGGAGAGAAAACACTCTGAAAAGGCTGCAGACTGTATGATTCCAACTCTCTGCCATTCTGGGAAAAGCAAAGCTGTGAGACAGGAAGAAGATGGGTGTTGAGGGGTGGGGGTGATGAGCGGCCGGGACAGGGTTTTCAGGGCAGTGAAATGACTACATATGACACTATAGTGGTGGACACATGTTGTTATCCATTTGTCTAAACCCATGGAGTCCATTGCACCAAGCGTGAGCCCTAATGTAAACTGTGGGCTCTTGGTGACAGTAATGTGTCACTGTATTTTTATCCTCTGTAGCAAATGTACCAGGAGGTGCAGGATGTTGACAGCAGGGGACGCTGGCCCTGTTGGGGGCGGGGGGTATGTGGGAAATCGCCCTGCCTCTCAGTTCTGCTGTGAACCTCAAAGTGCCCCCCTGCAAAGTAAGTCTTTTTTTAAAAAAAAACACCACGCAACAATACTCAGCGAGGGAACCCCCGCACCCACAGCAGGGCTCACTGTCCCCAGCTCTGCGAAAAGCTCGGGCTGTGGCCAGGCCCATGGTGACCGTGCCCCGCTTTCTCCCCAGCACTGCAGAGAGCGGCCCCGGTCCATGGTGGTCATCGAGGTGTTCACGCCCGTGGTCCAGAGAATCCTCAAACATAACATGGTGAGTCCGAGGGCCCCGGCCGTCGCCGCGTGCGCAGAGCTGGGCGTGGGGTTGGCCAGCCTCACGCCGGAGCTGGGCGGAGACGCCGGCGGGGAGGCTGGAGGGGTCGTGCAGCCTGTCCTCCTTGATTATGCTTTTGCCGTTAAGGCCACAGGAAGAGTCTTGTCGCAGTGGGTAAGAATAACAAGACGCTGGGGCTGGTGAGAGGAGATAAGTCTTGCAGGCAGAAGGTCCCAGCTAGTTTATGGAGACGCTCGATCCTCAAGGACCTGGGTTGTGACTTCACACTCCTGAAGGAGGGCACTGTGCACGGTGGTGTCCTTCCAGGGAGTGTGGAAAGAGCAGAAAAAGCAGCTTTGCAGACACGACCTCAGCCAGGTGGTGAAGGTCGGCGTCAACAGTGATGAGCCACCTTGATAGTCTGTGCCCTGATAGGGTGAGATGAAAATGGCACTTTACCTCTGGGTCTTCCCCCAAAGAGCCCCTAACCCCACCTGATCACGAGAAAAAAGTCAGGCAGATCCCAGCTGAGGGACAATCTACAAAACACCTGGGCAGTTCTCCCCCAGACTGTCAAGGTCATCAAAAATAAGGAGAGTCTGAGAAACTGTCACAGCCCAGAGGAGCCTAAGGAGGTGTGACACTTTCGTCACATGGGATCCCCAAACAGGAAAAGAATGTTGGGGGAAACTGAGGCAGTCTGAATAAGGTGTGGCCTTTAGTTAATTTTTTTAAAAGACTGAGGCAGGATTTCATTGCACACCCTCTCTGGCCTGGGCACTTGGAATCCGTGTGGTCCCTTTGTGTTCTCTAGTCATTGCAACGAGAGTGGGAAGTATCATTACTTTCCCCATAATGCATGTGGGGAAACTGAGGCTTGACAAGGTCCACTGAGTGGCCACCAAGGCCACAGCTAGGAATGAGAGTAACGAACATCTATTCTCAGGCATCTGTCGAGCACCTTGGTGGAGACAGAGTGTGATGCTCTTGCAGTGTGGCCCGTCACTAGCCCTCATGCCATCCCTGTGACGTCCTGTACACAGGAGGGATCTGGGACCCAGAAGGGCCGGACAGGCTGCTGGGGGCTGGGGAGCAGCTGTGAGTGCTTCTCGGGGGAGCTGGGGGGGGGCAGGCAGTGTGAGGCCAGGGCCATTCCCACCCACACGTTGTACTGAGCCAGCCACCATCCTGGCATGTGGAAATGACTCTGGAAAAGGGTAGCCTGGAAGCCATTTCATTTGTGACATGGCTTTCATGTTTGCACAACATGCCCCTAAAAGAATATCATCTCACCTACATCCCCTTCGCCAATCAGGAATGGGAACGTGTGACACGTACCCTTCTCTCCCTCGCCCATACTCACAGCAGACATCATTAATCAATCACAGCACTCTTCCTGCCTTGTCGGAGAGAGTTTCAGACTCTCCCCACACAGCATTCCAGGCCGCCACTACCAGCTGACACGTGTTGGCACCATAGTGAGTTCCAGCTACCATTCCCTGCTCTAAGCGATCGCAGACTGTAATGGAATTGTTGCTGATTTCTGAGATCCTCCTAGATTTGGGGGAACTTCATTTTTTGTTTTCAGAACACAGGGGAGAGGGACATCTGGTGAGATCTTATTCCAGGATAGCAATGAAACTCCCCACTGGGATAATTTCTCCCTTAATTTGGGCTCTGATAGTTTCAAGGAGGACACTTTCTGGCTTTGGCCAGCTGGGGGGAAAGGGTCTCTGCTTGTTAACTTTATTTGTCTTTTTTTTTTTTGAGACAGAGTCTCGCTTTGTTACCCATGCTAGAGTGAGTGCTGTGGCGTCAGCCTAGCTCATAGCAACCTCAAACTCCTGGGCTCAAGCGATCCTGCTGCCTCAGCCTCCCAAGTAGCTGTGACTACAAGCATGTGCCTGGCTAATTTTTTCTATATATTTTTAGTTGACCAATTAATTTCTTTCTATTTTTAGTAGAGATGGGGTCTCGCTCTTGCTCAGGCTGGTTTTGAACTCCTGACCTCAAGCCATCTGCCCACCTCAGCCTCCCAGAGTGCTTGGATTACAGGCGTGAGACACCGCTCCTGGCCTGCTTGTTAACTTTAAGATCTCTTGTGGAGCTGGACATGGTGGCTCACGTCTATAATGCTAGCACTTTGGGAGGCCAAGGTGGCAGGGTCATTACAGACCTGGCGATCAAGACCAGCCTGGGCAACATAGCTAGACCCCGTCCCTACAAAATATAGAAAAATGAGTTGGGCATGGTGATGCACACCTGTAGTCCAAGCTACTCGGGAGGCCAAAGCAGGAGGATCGCTTGAGCCCAGGAGTATGAGGTGACAGTGAGCTGTGATGATGCCACTGCACTCTAGTCTGGTCAATAGAGTGAGAGCCTCTCTCAAAAAAATAAATAAGTACATAAAATTAAATCCCTTATAGGGATAGCATCATATAGTGAGGCCCATGCCCTTTTGGAGTTCAGAGCAAAGGTTCTGGAGTTTTGCTTGCCAAGGATCTTGGCAATGACAAAGCTGCACCCCCAGGACATGCTTTGGGTGTTGCGGGGGTGGGTGCCTCTTCAGGCACGTAGCATTTTTGCATGTCCCATGGTAGTCAATAAACTGTTTCGTAAGGGTTCTTTGGGGACATCTGATTTCAAAGGGGGAAAAGTCAAAATCCAGACAGCCTCCTGGGACTTCACCGTACAGTGCCTCCCTTGAATTGGGTTAGTTTTACGGGCCTGGAGTGTTGACCATGTAATAATTCTGCGTATAAAAATCAGAACAGCTGCAGGAAAACCCAGCATTTATAAAATCTTTGATGGTCTGGCGGAGATTGGGGCCGCTCAGCCAGGATTCTGTACTTTGCTCTCAGTGAACACCCTCTAAGTGATGCCAGGCGTCCGGGGACGCTGTGACGCGTTGACATCCTGCTTGCTCTTGGCGTCGCCTGATTGCACACTGCGAGCGGTGTCGGAAGAGAGCTGCAGACGGCGCTGAGGCGCATCGGCTCCTTCTGTGCAAGCGCAGACTGCGCTAGGCAGTGAGTATGGCTGTGCCAGGCACGAGGAGACAGGATCTCACAGCGTCCTGACGACACAGGCGGCGAGCACGGGAGAGCCCTGACGTCCGCTCGTTTGGCGCTCCCCAGTGCTCAGCGCTTGGCCGTGGGCTGGATGCGCCGTTTTGGAGCTGTCGCCGGTGCAGGGGCTCACGTCACTGCCTAGCGAGTGTGCCTAGCCTGCCGCCAGCCACGCGCCTGCTAGCGTAGCATAAATGGCGACGTCTCTGCACCCCGGATGCAGCGTTTCTCACTAAGGAGGCACTTGAACATCTGGGAGATGGGGGAGTCGTATGCCACAGTGGTGTTCTGGAATTGGGGGGGCTTCCCCTCTTCTGAGTGCAGCTCTTGGCCCATTTCATGGATGAGCAAAGTGAAGCTTAGACAGTCTCAAAGAGTGTTCCTTGCTAGACCAAAATAAAAATTAGACACGAGAGGAAGCGGTCCTTTAGTACGTTCTTCTGAAGAGTCAGTCTGAACAATTCATTGAACTGCACCCTCAAGAATGACCGTGGATCTCTGTGCCCACGTGCCACTCACTGGCATGTTCTTGTGGCAAAGGAGGCAAGAGGATGTGGCTGTGGACCCTAGTGGGCCACTGGGTGACCTGATCTCCAGCTCTCAAGGGGAGCATATTTGACTGATCCAAAGAGGCAAAATGTCTCTCACCCGCATGTCAGAGGCCACCAGAGCCCGCTGTAATGTCTGTTTCCAAGGACAGAACCTGACTCTCCAGAAGTCTAATAGCAAAGGCAGTGATGGTTACCTTTGGCAGGGTTCAGTTGGCGCAGTTTTGGTAGACTCATGAAACTCTAGAGGTAGACGGGCTAGAGATCACTTCTTTCAATCTCGTTCCACAGTGGGGACAGTCAGGCCCAGACAGGCGGGTGGTGGCCCAAGGCCACACGCCTGTCCTGCCACCCTTTTCCAGGAGTCTAGGAGATGCCGGGCATCTTCCTCGATTTGAAAGTGAGATAAGGCGACCTCTCTAAATCCTCTCATACGGGGCCTCATCGTCTAGCCTGATTGGTACTATGTGTGTGCATGACACATGTGCGTGTGTCCCTCGAAGCCCTCTCCGTGGGTGCTGCCTCCCTCCCGTGGACAGGAACAGTCCCGGTAGGGCGTGTGAGCAGGTGTCCCCCTTCCGCGGGCTCCTGGCCCCGATTCAGCCCCTTGATTGCGGGTGAGGCAACCCCAGACAGCTGTAGACACCCTCCTGGGCGCAGGCGGGAGGCCTTCTAGAAACTCGTTCTCCTCAGAGCTCAGGCCGGCCGGGATCAACAGGGCCTGGAGGAAAGCCACCTGCGTTTCTAGTTCATACACGGGAGGCCTGTTTCAGGCTGCTGTTTTCTAGTATGTTCCCCTGGGGGAGGGACAGAAGGACGAGCTTGGAGAAACAGCCCCTCCCTCGTCTTGCGGGTCAGCCGCGTGGTTTTCCAGAGAGTCGGCACGACCTGGCGGTGCCTGCCCCTCTGCCAGGTCCCCGCACCTCCCCGGCCCTCCGCACGGCCGTGGGCAGGAGCCAGGCGCCGGCTTGCAGGGTTCCCTCCCGGCCGCCGTCCTGGTACCTGCCTTTCCACCTGGTGGCCAAGCTCTCCATGGCCGCCCTGCTGATGTGACATGTTGGGGACGCTGAGAAAACATCAGTCTCCAGTTATGTCGCACGGCTGGAGCAGGCAGGGGTCCCTTTGTCCCCTTGTCAGTGCTCCTTAATTAAGCCTCAGCCCATTTTGCTGGGCTCATCTGGGCTGGTGGGTGGAGGCGGAGCTGGGAGCGCCACCTTTTCCTGACGTTGCACAGACCACTCCCTACGGCTGCAGCTGCTGCGCCCCGAGTCCTGCCTTCAGATGACGGTCACACGCACCTGGTCACATGGCCCACACACACACACACACACACACACACACGCCACCATCTACGCTGCACGTCCCTCCCACCTACCCCGTTATTCGTCCATCTTTCTCGATGCCCTTCGTATCCCATGTGCCTTTTGAGGGTGGCTTTTTCTGCAGCCGAGAGCACGTGGTCATCAGACACCTGTGAGTTCAGTTCTGGGTCCGGGTCACTGGGGCCAGCCCGGAGCGGGAGGAAGCCCCTGAGGGCCTGCGCCTGGGCCCCACCTTCGCCAGGGTTGTCACTCCTCCCGGGAAAGGGCAGGCATCTCTTCCCCAAGCACATGGTCTGAGATCACGGGGAGCCTCGTTTGTCCAGCGCCACCTGTGTCCAGTGCCACCTGTGTCCACCACGCCCCCAGGAAGCCCCAGAGCCGCTCCCCCAGGGTGATGACCCCCTAGCAAAGACGACTGCCTGACTTTGCTGTGCGAATGGCTTCGGGTACAAGCTCACAGAAAGCAGGGGCCCCAGAAACTCTCTGGTGGCTGTAGAAGTTTCTAGCTTCCCCAGGGCTGGTGGGGGGCGGAGTTGGCCGTGTGCAGCCCGTCTCGGTCCTGCAGCTGAATCATGATTGGCCATTTCCGAGCGTGTCTATGTGACACCCTGACACTTCCTGGTCCCCAGGGGTGGCCATTAAGGTTGTAAGCCAGGGTGTAACAGTGCCGTTCGTGCTTGCCAGGTGGCTGGTGGCTGCCCGTTGCCTTCTACACTGATGGCTCTGGGCAGAGCTGGGTCCTGCCAGCCGGGGTCCTGGCTGCCCCGGGCTCCTGTCCTGCTTGGCAGCGTGTCCCCAACCCCTGTCCTCTGCTCTGCCTGCAGGACTTTGGGAAGTGCCCGCGGCTGAGGCTGTTTACTCAGGAGTACATCCTTGCCTTGAACGAGCTCAACGCGGGGATGGAAGTGGTGAAGAAGTTCATTCAGAGGTGGGTCTCCAGCCAGCGCCCCTCCCCGCCCTGGCCTCCGAGTCCGCTTGCCCCTCCAGCCCAGAGCCACCTGCTCCGTGGTGCCCAGGGAGGAGCCACTGCTGGTGTTCAAAGGCTCCAAAGCATGCCATCTTCTGTGAGGGCTTCCCCTGGATCCTTCCCGCCACGTGTGGTCTGAGCCAGTTATTTGCTGTGTGATGTTGAGCCAGTCACTGCACCTCTCTGATCTTATTTCCTCGGGGGCCCATGGGAGGCTGTTGTGCAATTAAATGAGGACTAAATATCCGAGGAAGCCCCTAGCACGCTGCTCGTGCCCGCAGGAGCTCGGGAAAGGTCACGGTCCTGAGCGGTGTTAGCGTTTCCATGGCTCCCGCAGCGCTAGCGCCGTAAGGTGTTTAGCAAAGGATCCTCCCAGTGGTCCCAGAGGTGGCACTTGCACAGCCACCTGTCCAGCCTGACCAAGAGGAAGCCAAGTATTCTCGTTCTTACTCACCGCTGGTGTTTGGGGTTGTTTTGTTTGGTTGGTTGGCTGGTTGGTTTTGCTTTGCTTTTTCTGTTTTTTCATTTTCTCTCTGTGCTTCGGTTTCCTCGTCTGTGACATGGGAACCGCAGAGCCCCTCGCGTGGGCAGCGTGGCGATCGGGAGCCCGCTGGCGGGCGGCACCAAGCACAGTGTGGAAGCCTGCCTATCGCCCCGTTAGCCGGCATGTTACTGCTTTCTTCAGAAAATTGAAATAAATTTTGTAAGCCAGTCCTGAAGCCGTGTATGTCCTAGACACACTCACCAAGTATTTCCAGCCCAAATGACGAGCTCTTCTGCCAGGGCCTGGTGACTTCAGGGTGCCTCTAAAGCCCCTGGCTGTGCTTTGTGAAGTGCCGCCAGGTCTGGCCTCTCTTAGTAGCTGTGGCCACGGCAGTGATTTCCCACAGTGTTGCAGGTGTCATCCTTAGACCTGCAGTCTGCCCCCTTCACAGATGAGGAAACTGAGGCACAGAAATAGCCGTGACAAATGATAATGACTGGCATTGATTGAGGACCTAGTGACTGTGTCCCAGACCCCATACGAATAAGCAAAGATGACCATAGTCATTTTCCCTCCAAAGCAGGACAATTTTGAGAGTAAAATGTGTTGTTATAAATAATTATTCCTAAACCACCAGGTAGAAATATACGGTCATCCCATGCTAGGTCTTTCTATGAATTGGGAAACTTGGTCCTCCTGTGACCCACCAAGGTGGGGCTGTTGTCCTCATTTTATAGCCCAAGAAATAGGGTGGAGCGTTTCGGTAGCTTGTCAAGGCCACTCAGCTGGATTTGAACCCAGCCCCCTGGATCTGGGGCCCACAGTCTGGAGCTCTGCTCTCTGCCACCTGCACATGGCACAGCCAGGACCCAGAGCCTGGTGTTGCCAGCCACAGGGTGAAGGCAGAATGCCCGGGCCAGCCCCGTGCCTCAGTGGTGCCTGGCATCTCCCTTTGTCCCCGCCTCCCACCTCGCAGGCGTCTCACCCCTGCCCTCTGCTCTGTTCCAGCATGCACGGCCCCACAGGGCACTGCCCGCACCCCCGGGTCCTGCCCAACCTGGTGGCCGTGTGCCTGGCTGCCATCTACTCCTGCTACGAAGAGTTCATCAACAGGTCAGTCACTGCTGCGGCCAGCAGGGCTTGGGTGGGGGGCGTGCTGCCACATCCACCGTGGGCACAGGTCACCAAGGACCGAGGGGCTGGGGAAGTGGAGTGGCTTTCGCTAGACAGGTCTCCTGGTGTATTTGCCCCATTCCCTCAGCCGGGCCCAGGACCGGGGCGTGTTGCTGAAAAAGCAAACACTGCGAGTCCACCACCGCAACTGCAAGGCTGTGGGCCACCTGACTTTAGCAAGTAATGTTTTGTGCTGGAGATTTCTCATGACACATGGGTGTGTGTGCTTGTGAATGTGTGTATATGTGTGTGCACACGTGTGTGCACGGGTATGCAAATGCATGAGTGGAAGCATGTACACGTGTAACTGTATGTGGGGGTAGGGTGTGCACATGTGTCAGTGTGTGTGTGCCTGTGGGCGGGGGGTGGGGGGGACACTGCTGATCATCCTGCCACCCACAGGACAGGTCCCGCAACACGGAATTATCTGGCCCCAGATGTCAGCAGAGCCAGGTTGAGAACTCTGAGCTGGGTGGCTGTTGCACAGGAGCAGTCACCGCTCTCTGTCCCTAAGAGTTACGTACGTGACTGTAATGGATTTAAGTTATTCCCAGGGTTTGCTAGAGCCAGCTCGCCCCTAACATTTGGGAGCACATGTCCCAGTTCTGCAGTGACGTCACTTGGTAGCTCGAGGTCAGTTGTGGTGGGAGTATTTACACCAAGGAAATTGGCAAACACTCCAGACGAGGGCTGCTTTTTTTCCAAGAGTGTTGGTTGCTAGACATTTACCAGTATACCGTAGGTTATGCCTTAAACCCTCTTTTTCTTAAAAAAGAAAAGGAAGAAAGGTGCCCAGGCCCCGCCCACTGCCATTCTGGTTTAGTTGGGACGGCCTTGGCGTTGTTGTTTGTTGCCTTGAACTCCCCAGGCAAGTGTAATGCACGGCCAGAATGGAGAACCCCTGGTTGCAAAATTTTTCTATCCGTGGTCCTTGAACACCTGCTCCAGAGTCACCCGGAGCAGAGTCACTTGTTTCTTTAACAAGCAGATTCCCTGGTGCAGCATTTCTGGGCCGGGGCCCAGGAATCTGCATTCCTAAACTCCACAGGGATTCTGATAAACATGGAGGACCCCTGCAGGGGAGGAGCTGAGGGAATCCAGTGTGACCGGAGCAGAGGGAAGGAAGGAGGAGGTGAAGCTGCGGGGGGAGACAGGGCTGGCCACGGAGGGGCAGCTTCTCAGGCCCCCCAGCAGCCTGGGGCTCCCCTGGGCTGGTGGTAAATGCAGATCCAGATTCAGCAGGTCCGGGGCAGGACCACTACACACCCAACGAGCTGCCAGTCCGTGCAGCGGGCAGGGCCACACTCCGAGTGGCAGGGCTGTCCCTGTGCTGCTGCAGCGAGTCGACATTGGGTCGTAAGCGGAGGAGGGACGTGGTGAGGTTCCAGTTCCGGATTTTCCTCCGGTGGCTGCCGCTGCGGGGAGGATACACGGGAGGGGCAGGCTCGAGTGCGGGGGACGCTGGCAGCTGTTAGGATGGCGGGGTGCCAGGGTGGAGGCGTGGCCAGGTGGGTCCCGCTGCCTCCCGCCCACCCGGGTAGTTTAGAGCCACCAGGTTCCAGCCAGTGCTGTCAGTTCCTCCGGAACGTCAGCGTCACCCAGGGAAGTGACTCGCTGCTGGGACGTTTCCCGGCTCCGCTCCAGCACGCCCCTGCGAGATAAAGCCTGCTGTCCTCCAGGCGGTCCGCGGTGCTCCCGGTGGGCACACAGTGTACTCACGCTCGGAAGAACAGGCAGCTTGACCCGGGTTACCGCGGCTCTCTGGAAAATCACCGGGCTGAGCCAACAGCCTTGAAAATCCACTCCTCGGTCCCAGCAGAGGAAACAAAGGGGCTGGAGCGTGGAACGCGCAAATCAGATCTGACCCGAGGGAGAACGTGGGCCGCCCCTCCCCGCACAGACCACACACGATTTCCCGTCAGCCGTCGGTTTCCCAGACTGTAGCTGCTGGATTGTGTTTTTCCCCCAGCAAAGCTTAAAGTGTATTTAGTCAACACCCCGGCGGGCCCAGCTCCGGCCTGGCTCATGGCACATGCTGGGTAAATCACACCCTCCCTGGGCCCTAGGTTCCAGTTCTGCACTTTGCCCTTGGGGAGGCTACAGAGAACCCAGTGGTGTGGCCCAGTCCTCGAGCCCCAGAGAGACGGGCACATGCGTGTGGCACATCTGGGGAGTGACCAGACAAGCAGCTGTCTGTCTCTAATCATGCCATCGTGCTTGGAGTCGCTTGGACCAGTGGGTCTCAACCTTGACCACACACATGGGGAGACTTAAAAATGACTCACGTCCAGGCCCCACGCCAGAGATTCTGATCTAACTGGGCTGCAGGACATTTAGAAGTGCCCCAGGGATCCTGGTGTCCAGCCAGGGGTGGAAGGCTCTGGTTTAGAAGGAGTTGGGGGGCAGAAGGATGTGAGCAATATGAAGAAGAAATCAAGGAAGACTTCGTGGAGGAGGGGACCTGCACAGGATCTTGGGGGACTTTGGGAGCCGCCCCTAGTGGGGAGGCTTTACATTGAGCGGGATCTGGTTTCAAATCCCATCTCCCTCAACTCATGGGCCACACAGTCAGGGTGGACCATTTACCTCTGGGGTGCCTTTCCTCCCCTGCGGCACGGACATGGCAGGCCTCGCCTGTGTGGTAGCGCCTGCGCTGTGCCGGCGCGTGGGCACCGGCAGGGGATCCCATTGCTGGTACCACTGTCCATTGGCTGCGCCTCCCAGGGAACTGGGCCCACTGGGACGTGCTATTGACAGGAGGGGCTTTAACCAAGGCAAGGCTCTGACAAGTCCTGCCGTAAAGAGGCCAAATTTCGTCATGTTTGGCCCAGCACTTGCCAAACAAGCGTGACATTAATGATGCCTACAGCCCGTTTCTCAGTGAACACCTGTTAACACGCTGTGCGAGCATTGTTCCTCCAGGAAGTCGGAGATGGCTGTGGCTGGGGGGTTACACAGCAGGAGGGCCCTACAGAGGCCAGGGCCCACACGAGAGTTCAGGGGTTTCTCAGCTGGGGGGCATGGTAGGCTGTGGAGCTGAGCCGTGGGGCACACTGGGCTCGGGGACAGAAGTAGGAGGGCAGTTAGACTGCAGGAAGCAGCTACAGAATCACTCAGTGAGTGTCACAGGCGTGCCGGGAAGGTGGCCGGGAGGGCGTCTTGGTGCAGGGGAATGCTGTCGCGTGGAGTCAGCCTCACTCCGTCGTTACTGAGCTCCCGCTGGCGCTGGGGCTGCGGCGTGGCTCTGCACCCGGGCACCCGTCCCGTCTGCAAGGCCTCGGGTGAGCTGCCGCCGCCTGAGCCCCACATCCTCGCTGGCAGGATTGGGTGGTGACGGTCCTGCCTCACCGCGTCCTCTGGGGCTTCAGGGACGCACCTAACACGACGGCACCTGTCGCGTCGTGAGCACTCACGGGTGCCCGGACTCACGCGCCTCTCCCTCCTCTCCCCCAGCCGCGACAACTCCCCGAGCCTGAAGGAGATCCGGAACGGCTGCCAGCAGCCGTGCGACCGGAAGCCCACCTTACCTCTGCGCCTTCTGCACCCCAGCCCGGACCTGGTGTCTCAGGAAGCCACGCTGTCCGAGGCGCGGCTCAAGTCGGTGGTCGTGGCCTCCAGCGAGATCCACGTGGAGGTGGAACGCACCAGCACTGCCACGCCGGCGCCGGCGGCCAGCGCGGGCGACGACAGCGAGCCCAGCCTCATCGACTGCCTCATGGTCAGCCCCGCCTGCAGCACCATGAGCATCGAGCTGGGCCCGCAGGCCGACCGCACGCTCGCCTGCCACGTGGAAATCCTCAAGCTGCTGTGAGTGCCCCCGCGCGCCGCCGGGGTGGGCCGTGGCGTGCCTCTGGCGCGGCTGTGCTCCTCGGTTCCAGCGGGGTCCCCGGGGTGGGCTTGGGTGAGGGGCCTGTGTGAGTGCGCACAGGTGTGGCTGTGAGTGCGAGCACACAGGGTGCATGTGTACAGGTGCATGGGGGCACGCAGAGGTGTGTGCACACATATCTGTGGGTGTGTCCATGAACATACTGTGCGTGCATACACGTACACGGGGTACATGTGTGGCTATGTCTGCACGTGTGTGCTTGAGCGTCCAGTCATGTGTGCATGCACACACATGCGTGCCTGTGCGTGTGTTGTGCACGAGCTGAGTGTGTGTCTGCATGTATCCGCCAGGGCGTGCGGGAGCAGGGAGGCGACGTGTGTCCGCGAGTGCGTGCGCTTCTCTGCACGTTGTTAGGTTCTGTCAGGTGTTAGGTTCCTGCTGTGTACGCGAGCAAGTGTGCATGCGAGCCTGCGCGTGAGTGTTTCTGTGTTGTGTGAGCCACGCGTGCTTAGGTGTGTTTGGGGTGTGAGTGCACATACAGATGCGTGTGTCTGCGTGGGTGGTGGGTCACGTGTGCAGGTGTGTGTGGCTGTGCCCTGGAGCCTGGGTGTCCGTGAGGTTGTGCGTGTGCCTGGGTGTGCCTGTGGGCGCCTTCCGTGAGGGCAGTACTGTTTGGGGAGTGGCTGGGCTGTGCCGAGGTGCAGGGTGCCCTCCGCCGCGTCCTGGGCGAGTCCCGATGGCAGGGAGGGCTTGGCGCAGGCCAGGCTGGCGGAAGGAGCTCCAGAGAAGGAGCCAGGAGAGGTGACTTGGGTCTGCTCTGGGTGATACACTTCTGAGCTTGGGGCTTCGGGCCTGTCCCTGCCCCTCCTCGAGCCTCAGTTCTGTGCTTTTACAATGGTGGGGCCGAGGGGGGGTGGTTCCTTGACCCCCAGGGCTGTTTCCAGCCTCTCCGTTCATACCCTCCACGTGCGCTGGGTCCCGAGCTTCCCTTCCGCCCCGTGGCCCCACCTCAGCCGGCGCCTCCCTGTCCTGGCTCCCACAAGCCCCTTCCTTAGGGTAGGGCTCTGCCCACTCCCCGGAGACCCGGGTGCAGAGGTCGGCATTTCCACGTGCGGTCGGTTGTGGTTGCTGGACTTTTCAGAGGAATCGGGGCACAGCTGTGTCATCACGTTTAACCAACATGTGGTGCCTAAGGCCAGGGGCCCTCAATCTGGGGGTGCTTGGGGTGTTGTCAGCATGCACAGGGGTTCCACTGAGTCACCGTGTAGCGTTGGTTCTTCCTCAGTCATGAGCATGTCGCTGCCTGAGTGTGCCCTGGGTTTGGAGGGCCGAGGGGGATTCTGGTGGCCTAGTGAGCTGGCGAGACGGGGTGGGAGGCGCCTTAGGGTGCCCGTGTGTGTCCCTGGAGGTGAACACGCCTGCATGCACACGCACATGGTTACACAGTGACTTCTGGTGGCTTAAGAGGATGGTGGAGGCAGCATCCCCACACGGCTTCCCCTGCCCAGTGAGGAAAGGGCAGGGCCTCCCCGGGGTCAGTGCCAGCCACACCCATGGTCCCAGGAACAGAGGCCGGGTGGGGACGTCCCACATCCAGCAGCTCCCAGGCAGGGGCGTTCCAGATCCCACTCCGCGTCCTGGAGCATGCCTTCGCCCTCTGCGTCCCTTCCAGGCAGGGGAGAGCAGTGGGGACAGCCCCCCCAGGGGACAGGTCAGCCCCAGGGACCCAGGATTTGGGAGGGGCTCCTTGCTCTGGTCGGGGCATAGGCCTGCCAGGCCAGCACCGGCCCCAGTCTCCGCTCCGGCCCCTGACTCCGGCTGCTCTCCGCACACGCCACCCACGCCCAGGCCTTCTGCCATCTTGGTCCCAACTCATCCTTCTCGTTAAGCGCTAAGGGTTTCAGTTCCATCCTGCAGTGACACACGTTTTTTTGCTTCTTCATAAACACGCTGGTGAATGAGGGCTCTGTTCTTCCTGATGCGCTTCCAGACCTCCCGCCTGCCCACATCACTCAGCCGCCAGGGCGGGGTAGGGGGCGGGGGCCAGGGCCAGGGGCCCGGAACAGTGGGGGGGCCGGGAGGTGTCCCCGATGGCCCGCCAGGGCAGGGCCCACCGCCTCCCGCTCAGAGCAGCAACTCACTCCCAGCCCGGACGTCTCCCCAAAGTAAGATTTGTCCCTCCCGGAGCCTCTCTTACCTTGGGGGAGCTCAGAGCACAATTTGGGCCTGAGAACTTTATTTCCTCCCAGCTTTCCTTCCCTAACCAGCTGGGTCGTTGGAGGCCCCAGAGCCGTCGGATGCAGACGGCCCCCGCAGCCCACAGGCTCCACGGTGAGACTCGTGGGGAAAAGCTCGGATTCGGAGTCAGAGCGTGCTGGACCCAAGTCCCACGTGCGCGCACACTGGTGACCGTGGGCGGGCGGGTCGTCCTCTCTGAGCCTCAGCTGCCAGCCGGGAGGTGGAGTCAGTGTGGCTGCTCTGGGACAGTGGCACAAAGATTGGGGGGCTCTGAGCACCCCTGCGCAGAGCAGACACCTCTTGCCAGATAGATACCGGGCGAATGGGAGGGACCACCAGCAGTGTCTCCTCTGTATTAAGATACTGTTAAGAGTAAGGCGCATCATTGATTCAATAACAGTACTTTGAGAGAAAGAGGGAGAATAACCAATATGGCATTCAGTGCGCACTTGGGTTGCAGGAAGCTTGCATCCGAGCATGGAGGGGGTGTGGCATGTGGCTTATCTGCTGTGTGACTGTGGCAGCAGTCTTGGCTCTTTTGCCCTCAGTTTTCTTGTCTGTAAAATGGGTGCTTTCTCAGAGGACTGTGTGAGAATTCAGGGATGTTGGAGGTTTCCAGTGCTGGCCCAGCCCCCGGTTCTTGATAGAAGTGAGCTACTATTACCAGTACTGAAGTGCTGCCCACAGGAGAGTGATACATAAAGAAGGAGGGAAGTAGAAGGTTTAGTGTGGAATCGAGGGGGCTTAGAGGGTATCTTGGGGGTTAAGGAGCCTCTCTTGGCCCAGCCTGATCAACCCCCATTGGAAAGGGCACAGCTGGCTCCAGGGGGGTTGCAGGGCAGCGCAGCCCACCGCGCGCTGGCAGTGGGGAGGGGTGTCTGAAAGGCACAGCCCTGGTTACTTTGTGTGCAGGAGGGACTGTGCGTCATGAGAATTCAACACCCCTGAAAAGCAGCCTAAGCTGCAAGAATTCCCTGCAGACCCTTGAAAAGGAAAACTGTTCCAAACACAGGTCAAGGTTGATTCTGAAAACACACCCCATGAGGCCTGGGCCGAGGGGACCGATGGAAGGAACGGGGACTCGGGAGCCAGGCGGAGCAGGTTTAAACCCCGGTGTCACGCTCACATAGGCTGGTTCAAGTCCAGCTTCTTCCCTAGTTAGCTCTGTGGCCTTTGCAGGTGTCTGAACCTCTCTGGACTTCCATGTCTCATCTGTGAAGTGGGGTTCTGAAGCCAGCCTGGCCCTGTTAATGTGAGGGTTAACGTGTGGGTGCTCTCAGGTGTGTCAGAGGCCTGGGGACGCTCCTTTTCTCCTTCCCTGGTGGCAGTCAGGCCCCTCTCACCCTGCCTGCCACCCAGGCCAGGCTTGCCCAAAGGGGAGAGTGGCCCCATGGCCGGAGGCAGCAGGCCAGCAGGGCCAGGGCAGCCCCACACGCCAGCCCTGAGGCTGGCACCGCTCTCCCAACCCTCGTGGCGGGAGCTCTGCCGCCCACAGGAGAGTCCCTCGTCCACTCCTCAGGGGTCTGGCCAGCCTCCCCGTCCCCACCCAGACAGGTCAGACTGGGCGGGGCCAGCTTCACCCACAGACTCTCAGGCCAGACTGGGCCCAAGTGAGGAAGGCAGTCGGCTTGCCCTCTTCTTCTTCCTGTGCCCCGCAGCGCCTCTCGGTCCCGTGGGTCGTGTGGGCGCCACCATGATGACGCCACCAGGAAGCCAGGCCCAGGCGGGGGCGGAGGAGGCCTATGCCCAAACCCCCGCTCCTGCTGGGCCCCACACCTGGGAGTGCAGGCCACTGGTGGCCCAGGGAACAGCTTTGTCCACGTCCCCTTCTGTGCAGGAGTGAGACCCGAGCCCTGTGGCTTCCAGAGCCCACCTGCTTCTGCGGCTGCAGCTCCGAGTCCCTCTCTGATGATGGGTGATTTGAAGTCTCCTTAGAGTTCTGTATTTAATGGCATTTCTATATAGAATATATTTCATTTGTTAAAGTAAAAGAAAAGAAAAATTAAGTACTCATTTTATACAAGGAAATCGTCTTCCTCTAATAGGCGTGAGCCGGGCCACTCTCCCTGGGACACGCCGTGTCACTGAGGGGGGCAGCACAGACTCAGGGCCGGCTTCTGGGTCCAGACCCCAGTTCTCGGTAGCTGTGTGGCGTGGGGCCAGAGCTGCAGCCCGCTGAGTCTCAGTTTTCCTGCCTGTAAAATGGGGGTGGCAAGAGCGCCGCCCCACAGGTCACTGGGAGAAGTGCAGGCTGACACCTGGGGAGGGCGCGGCCCAGGACAGGCGCTGTGGACCAGGTTTGCTGTTACCACGGCTAGATTCTCTGGAAGCCTTGAGAGTCAGTGACAGGTGGGAGGAAAGGCGGAAGGGGATATGTCGGAGGGAAGACAAGCCAGGTACGGAGAAGAGGTCTCTGGTCCTGACCTGCACCCCACAGGCCTCTGGGTTCCCTGGCCCGAGGCCACGGGCAGCACATGTGTGGGCCTCCGTCCTAGGTCACCGTGGGCCAGCCGGCCTGCTGAGTCCTCGGCCGTGCCTCCTGCCACTGAACTCAGGTGGCGTCTCCCCCACAGGACGTCCGGAGACCACAGTGAGCAAACCCGGGCCTGGTACACGGTATAGTGAGTGCCGGGTGACCTTAACTGGCGTCACTCTGAAACTTATCGCAGGCCACAGGCTTTTCTGGCCATTCTTTTCTGAGCAGCTGGCATCTGCGTCTTTCCTCAGAACTTTCCAGGGTGTGATCTGGGTTCTGAAGGCCACCACTTTACCGAGGGTTTGTTTGGAGGAAGCTGGGGCGGGCAGAGCCCTCGTCCAGGGGTTATCTGAGCAGACCGTTGCCAATGGGAGCGCCTGTTTGTCCTTGGGGTGAAACCATGTCCTCCTTTTCTGTATAAGGCGCAGTTAGACACGGGGCACACAAACACGCAGGATGTCAGTGGCATGAAATCGTATGGGGGTGGGAGGCCAGTTAGGAAAAAAAATCTAGAAAGTTCCTTGGCGGGGAGAGGTTATAAAAGAAGGTTATCATGGTGATAAAAGAAGGTAGTCAGTGCACGCACAGCACTGACTTCTAAGCATATATATGGGAATCGCAGGGTTGTAGGCCCAAGAATCAGGCTTGGGGACCCAGGCCTTCCCTCTGCCCAGCCCAGGTCCAGGCACCCCAGCCTTTCCCGGGGCCCTGCCTGCCGGTGCCAGTGGAGCCTCTGACTGCCGCATCCCCAACACGGGCCGCACGACAGGGTCCACATGCCCCCCGTGCCAGACTCGCACGGCTGCCCTGGTCCAAGTCAGGCGGTCAGCGTGCCTCCCTCTCAAGCTGGCACCTGGTGACACCCAGGTCCTGCAGGACGGAGACTCGCCAACACCCCTTGTGCTGCGGCGTGAAACACACACCCCAGGCTCTGTCCCGGCCCAGGCCCAGTGTGCCTGCGGCTTTGGTTCGGCAGTCCTCTTCTGAGTCCTCTTCTGAGTGCCAACTCTCTGCCAGTCCTGGGGTCCAACATGGGGTAGGGGGGGTGCGGAGGAAAGACCCAGCCTCCCCTGGGTGGGTCGGAGGTGAAATGTGCATGAGCTTGGGAGCACCAGGGGCAGTTTGGTGGCTCGGGTAGGACAGTTCCAGCAGCCACCCCTCGCTCCGTGTGTGAGGGTGTAAGCTCTGGGCCCTTGTAGGTGCCGGGCCTGGCTCGGGAGGGTCGGCGAGAGCTGCCCAGCCTGGGCTTGCTCTTCAGCGAGTCCCCGGAGCCAGAGTGGCGGGGACCCCAGGTCAGCGCGGGCCCTGGGCTCCATGTAAGAGAGCCCCTGGGGTCAGATCTCAGCCACCAGCTGCACCTTTAGGGGAATCAGGAAGCACCTCTGAGCCTTGGTTGTCCCCATCTGTAGAGTGGGGGTTGTCGTGACTCTGGTCTCCGGGGGCCCCGTGCGAATGCTTTGCTGCGAGGCGCAGGCCCATCTTGCCGCAGACTGAGACGCTCGTATGAGCCTCTGGTTCTCGGGGCCCTCCCGGCTTTTGGGGGAAGAGTTGGCAGAGAGATTTGCCATTGTGTGAAGCGTGCTGGTAGGGTGGGAAACAGCCCCGTTTGACCTCTAGGAGTCGGAAGCTGTTGCTTTACCCTCCTGTGACCTCCGCGTGGCACAGCTCCGTGGTCACCCTGAGCGAGCGGTTTAACCGCTCCCGTCTCTAATCTGGACTCACTCGGGGTCCTGGGCAGGTCCCTTCAGCTAATGCAGGCAGAGCGCCGGGTACAGGTCCCAGCGTCCAGCGGGTGCCCAGTGACGTGCAGCTGTTGTTATCAGCGCCACTGTAGTTTCCAGTGTCGGACAGTGTCCCAGGCTTGGACCAGGTGTGACTCTCTGGAGCCTGGTTCAACCCGCCACTGGTGTGGCAGAACCTGAAATACCTGGTTCTGCGTCCCCGTCACCTCTTCCTGGCTGCGTGGATGCCTCTGAGCGGGTAACTTGCCTCTCCCAGCTGGCCTCGCACGAGAGGAAGGCTGCCCCATTGAAAGGGTTAAACGTGTGGCGCTTTTTGCTCTTGCTCTGACTGAGGTTTAGTCCCCTTTCCTTGCCCAGGCAGGTGTTGGACTTTGCTAAGATCTAAGGTCTGCGGTCAGAGAAGTCTGATTTTCATTTCTTACCAGTCACCACTGTGTTAGCTTGCACACTTTGCTTAACCTGTCGGGGCCTCAATTTTCCTTATCTGTTAAATGGGGCTAATCATATTGACTTTGCTGTGCTCTTGCGAAGAGCGGGTGAACCAAGGTAAAGCTCTCCAGCATGATGCAGCGTGTGTAGGGTGCATTGGTGAAATTGTAGCTGTTACCACCATCATCATCGTTATTCCTGTGACTAGCACAACTGTAAAAATGTTCTTGTATGGAAGCAAGAATAGAAGTATCTAATATAAATCTGGAGGGTTGACCCAAACTACAAATAAACAGCATGGAATTATTTTTTATGCATCGGTCTATAGATTTGCCACTCAGTTCTGGTCATTCGGAGGGGAGGCTGGCTCTGCAGGCCCAGCCTAAGCCCCTGTACCGGTTTGCTAGAACTACCGCAACAGAATAAACAGCACAGACTTGGTGGCTTAGACAACAGGAATTTATTTGCTCGCAGTTCTGGAGGCTGGAAGTCGAAGGTCAAGGTGTCGGCAGGGCAGGGCTGTCCTGGGGCTCGTAGGTGGCACCTCCCCGCCGCGTCCCCAGGTGGTCTCGTCTGCACGCAAAGCCCTGGTGAATCTGTGTCCGGATTTCCTCTTCTTATAACGACACCCGTCAGTGGCCTCACTGTAACTCAGTCACCTCTTTAGAAACCAGATCTCCCAATACAGTCACATTCTGTGGTCCCCGGGGTTAGAACTTCAGTGCATGAGTGGGGTGGGGCCACAGTTCCGCCCTTCGCACCCCTGTGGTTCAGAAGAGGGAACGGACAGGGATGGTGCAGCCGAGGCTCGGAGGCCAGGGGGTGTGACATCCCGAGCTAGATGCTGAGGCACTTCGGCTGCCAGAGGGACATCTCTGGAGAGGTGCTGTCGGTCGGACGCCTGGCCACCCCGTGAGCGTTAGGCTGCTTGTGCTCGCGGCTTCCTGGAAATTGGAGCGTGCAGAGCAGAGTCGGTGCCACCCGACCCCCGCAGGCTCTCATCCCTTCTTCTGCGACAGCACGTCATAAGCCTGCCCTTGTCCCCACCAAACCTGACTGTCACGCTCTCTCGTCCTAGGTCGGATTACGATGACTGGAGACCGTCTCTGGCCAGTTTGCTTCAACCCATTCCATTCCCCAAAGAGTAAGTCCCCCGCGCGTCTCTGGAACCCTCTCGCCTGTCAGAAGAGCCTCAGTGGGGACCAGTCGTTCAGGGCACATGCCACATCGCAGTGGGAAGGCCAAGGGGACGTCGGTCCCAGCCCAGCCACATCCTCAGCTGTGGGACCCTGGGGAGGAGCATCCCCCACCTGCCCCAAAAATGGGGGAATGAGAAACGTGGGAGGTTGTGGGTTCTGCCCGTTTCCATTGTCACAAGGCTTCTCGGGGCTGAGCGTGCAAACGCGGCCGGCCCCACGGCACCTGGCGTGCAGTAGAGCTAGCAGTTGCCGTTACGCGCCAGGTGGGAGCAGCGGCACCCGCCTCCCCTCTCTCCAAGGGGGACGGCGACGACCACAGTGTGCCGCAGCGAGCTGCTGGGAGCGCTTATGACAATGACACCTGGAACGGGTGCCCGGCTCGGGCTCCACGTCGAACACGGCCTGATATGGAGCCTCCGTCCCTCTGGCCAGCCCTCACCCCAGTACTGAGTGCGGCACCTCGAAGCGGGAGGATAATGGCTGGGGAGGGAGCTTTGTCTAAACAACCAGGCCCTGACGTGCCTCCAGGTCTCTGTTCCAATAGCTTGGAAGGAGCCGCGCCTGGGGCGGCCGGGCTCTCGCGGGAGCCGATTACCGGGCCCTGTTTATGAAACGCTGCTCCGCGCGGGCACATTACACCCCGTAATAGCCCCATTTGCTGGCCCAGCCGCTCCCCGGGGGGCCCCCAGGACTGGAGACCGGAGAAATCTGACTCCCGAGAGGCGCTCGGGTCTCAGCAGAGCGGTGGCGTCATTGGCTGCAGCCCTGTCCCCAGGGCCGGGGCGCGCTCGGCTGTGGCCCGCGATGCGGCTCTCGCCTGGAGCAGCGGTCCCCGGCGGCCGCGCCGATGCCGGCGGTAATGAGTGCGGCCGCCCCGAGTGTGAGCCATTAACAAGCACACCTGGGCCCCGGAGCCACGCGCGCCGCACATGCTCATGCGCCGGGCACGGCCCCGCGCCCTCCTGTTCGCAGGCCTGGGCCCCGGGGGGTCTGGGGTTTGGGGGCTCAGTCTGCTCATGTTACCGTGATCCTCGGCCTCATCAAAGGGGCCTTTGTTTGGGAGCTTGAGCAGGGACAAAACGCCGGCACTTGGTTCCCAACTGCCTCTCCATTCTCCGACCAGACGTAGCGTCTGGGCGTCCCCAGAGGACACTCTGTGGACACTGTGCTGTCGCAGAAGCGCCCCGCTAACCGCCGCTCCCCCGATTCTCTTGCAGAGCTCTCGCCCACGAGAAGTTCACCAAGTGAGTATCGCCCCACCCCACCCCCATACCTCCTGGCACACTTGGCCTCTGTCTGGAGGTCCTCCCTCCACGGCCGGCCTCCTCCTGGGCCCTCCTTGGTGGCACGCACACTGTCCCAAGACACGTGTCCAAGCCCATCCCGGCGTTTCCCGGCTCCCTGGCCCCTTTCCAGCGCTTCCCCACCCCACACCCTCCAGCCGGGGACCCGGGGTGACTCCGCCCGCCCTGCCCCTCTTCCAGGGAGCTCAAGTACGTGATTCAGAGGTTTGCCGAAGACCCGCGACAAGAGGTGAGGCCTCTCTCTCTGCATCGTGGGCCCGCTGTTGGGGATGGCAGGACACGTGGGGGCCTCTCGGGGCCCTCTGAGGCTCTGGCAGGCCGTCCTCGTCACCGTTGGGCATTCAGAGGGTTTACGGAGGCTCCTTGCCTCGGGCACAAACACAGCCCTGCCCCGGAGCCGGCCTGTGGTGTCCGCGTTTTGCTGTAGACTCAGACACACCGGAGCTGGTGTCCCGCGGACTGGTGGTTTCTCCAGGTGGTGACTGGGCTTGACTGGGGTGGGCTGGTGGAGGAGGGGGATCCCAGCCAGCTCGGGACAGGGGTTCATCCTGTCTGGCCTTGCTGTTCTTCGGATCAGTGGGCTGAGGAAGGAATCCCAGCCAGGATTGGAGCAGGGTTTTTATTTCGTGGCACAGTGACCAAGGGCCTCCCCGAGGGGCCCCTCTGTCCCTCACAAACCTGGGCTTCCACCTTCCACCCTAGAGCACAAGAGCGGGCAGGGGTGTTGGTGGGCCGGGAGCCAGCGCGTAGCTCCTCCCGCCACGGCGTCCGTACGCCCGTCACAGTGGCAGCCACTGGCCCTCACCAAGCCCACCCTGTGTCAGGTACGGTCGTCTGCTTACTCCTCACAACGTCCCTACGAGTAGGTTCTGCTATTATCCCCACGTTACATCAGAGTTACCCTTTCGGAGTTGAGGAAACTGAAGCTAAGTCATGTCTCCCCTGTTGCACAGTTGGTCAACGGCTAAGACAGGATTCGAACCCAAGAAGCCTGGCCCCAGAGCTGCGCTGATGACCAGCTCATCCCCAACCCCAACCCCGCCCCATGGAGCTCACAGCCCCCTCTCTGTGCGCGTGGATTCTGGGGTGCAGTGGGGACCAGTTGAGGGCCCACCCGACACGCGTGCCCCCGGCAGAGCAGGGAGAAGGCTGTGCAGAGGGGAGTGAGTTTCCCCGCTCCGCCCTGGGAGGCTCGGTGCTGACCTGGCTGCACTCAGCTTAAATAGGTGGAAGTTGGGCTGGGAAACTTGACCTTGGTCTGGAAAAGCCAGTACTGGGCAGGAGGGTGGGGATGGGGTTTGAGAAGGAATATGGGACATGTGGACACCAAGGCCTTGCCCGTGTCCGGCCACTGCAGGTCTCTCTCACTCAGAACCCACAGTCCCTTGGGCTCCAATCTAGCTATTCTAATCTGGGTTCGAATCCTGGAGCGGTTCTCAACCCTGAGGAGTTTGCTCAAAAAGCAGCCCCTCCGCTGCTCCCCGACCCCACAGCTCCAGCTCCCTGGGCCTGCGAGAGCCAAGCGTCCGCGTTTTGAACAAAGCATCCCAGGTGGCTTTGATGTGGGTCTCCGCAGCACGCTGCAAAACCTAGTTCTCGGAGGATCTAGTTCTAGAACACCGTGATTCTGAGTGCCGGTTCTGAGCGCGACCCTCGGGCGCGGTGGGCAAAGGCAGAAACGCTGGCGTGGCGCTTCTCAGTGGCCGGCACCGGAGACCGTGTCCATTTTCCGTAGAGCGAAGTCACCCTGCTGCGTGTGACAGCAGTCTCAGAATTCCCCCGGAAAGGGGGCCTCTGTGTGCAGCAGGGGCTTTGAAGCTGGGAGGATGGAAGTGGTACCAGTGCTTCCCTGAGTGCAGAGGCAGAGCCAGCTGCGGAAGGGAGATTTCCAAACCGGGGTGACACGGGCTCGAGGCCCCAAGCGATCCCCAAGTCAGGGGGGCGCCAGCGTCGCTGGCCACCGAGGCCCCGTGCTGCCGGCCTCTGGCTTTTATTTTCTCTGCGGTTCCTTTCATCTCGCTCCCCTTTTCCTCCTCACTCTTCTCTCCCCTCCTCCCTTCTCCCTCCTAAATGAAGCCAGAGTTGTTTTCTTTTAAATTCCTTGCTGTATTAATCGGATGGCATTTTATATTTTTGAGTCCTTATTTCTCTGAAGTGGATAAGTGAGCCCTTGATATTCTTCCAGCTCAGAGAGAAAAATATAAAAGGCTCACTGCCTTTGTTTTCTCTTTGCTGATGTGTGGGTTTTGATCCATTTAATATCTGCGAGTAAGTGACTCTTGGCAGCACATTGTCCTTTGCTCCTAAAGGGAACCATCAGGAACTTCTCTCCGCTTTCTTCTGAGAACGGGGAGGAGGGATAAAACAAAGGCTTTTGTGTTTCTCTCTCCGTAATCACAGCGGGGCCAGAGCGGATGTGGAATTCCTCCCAAACACGCCTGCACACACATGTGCACGCTCACACGCACACACTCCACACGGAGCCTGGGAAGGGGCTGGGCGGCTGTGCTTTTGGCACTGAAGTGGCCCCACCTGGACAGTGACCCCGAGAGGGAGGGGGGGTGGGGCCTGACGAGAGAGGGCTGCAGGGTCCCGGGGGTCAGGGGACAGAGACCCAGGGGGACAGTGCCCATGCAGAGGAGGCAGGAAGTCAGGAGGGAAGAAGGCAGACGCTTGAGAAGGGGGGTCAGTGCTGGGGGCGGCAGAACCCCAAAGAGAGAGGGGAGAGGTTTACAGAGGAAGGGCAGAGAGCAAGAGAGAGGAGTTAGAGACGCAGAGACAGGGGACAGAGAGCTGACGCAGACAGGGGACAAGGGAAATGGCCAGGGCATGGCAGCAGGGTCTACGTCTGCACAGCTGCTTTGGGCGTCCCCTGCCCTGGCGCAGCCAGGCCTGCCCCCCTGCCGGCGCTGATGGCCAGTGGCTGGCAGTCCCTAGCGTGAGGACCACAGTGTTTCCAAAAGGTCATTCCTGGAATCTGGTGGAAGGCTGGCCGCTGCCGGACAAAACAAAACGAAACAGGTTTCTGCACTGCGGGGCTTGCCCAAGCCTTTAACACCAGTGAGCAGGGACCGTGGTCACCGTTGTCGCCAGGGCTGCGTGAGACTGACGGGCCGTGTCTGTCCTCTGTCTGGCAGGTCCACTCGTGCCTGCTGAGCGTGCGGGCCGGCAAGGACGGCTGGTTCCAGCTCTACAGCCCCGGAGGGGTGGCCTGTGACGACGACGGGGAGCTGTTTGCCAGCATGGTAGGCGGCCGGCCCGCCGGGGGCTGCACACTTCGCCCTGGGCAGGGAGGGGGGGGCACTCGCAGACACAGGGACTGCCCCTCCCGAGTAATCACATAGCTGCCCCGCCCCCACAGGGGCCAGCCGGGAGTTCCCAGGCTGACACAACGCTCGTGTGAGCGTGGTGGTGACAACACGGCCACAGATGTCATTTGCACGTTTCTTCTCTGCACGGGCCCCAAGCCAAGAACAGGATAGTCCTGCTCTCACTCAGTCTCACTCAGTGCAGTGCGGAGGGGACACGGGTCACCGTGTTTTATAGACACGGCAGCCGTAGCCCAGGCGTTAACCGCCCAAGATCACACGGTTACTGTCATGGTGTGTTGCGTGCAAGGGACTCTGGACGGTGCCACGAGTCCCCCAGCTCGTTTCGTTCTTGCAGTCAGGTGTCAAGGCCAGGGTGATCGTCCCCACTGCAATGAGGGGTCTGAGGTCACCAAACCGATGCCCGCATCCATGGTGACTTCTGGCACTTTCTTTGTGCCAGGCCCTGTGCCAGGCACTTCGCAGGCACCACCGTCTTCAACCTTTGCAGCACCCGTGCTGCGTAATTACACCCGCATAATTGACACAGAGGCCCGGAGAGGGTCGGTGCCTTGCTTGGGGGCACACAGGCCTCCGACTCCAGCCCTGGGCCACGCCCAGTAGTGGAGGGACACGCTCCTCCTGCCCTGGGCGGGTAAGAGGTGCGGCGATGGGAGGTGCCCGGCGGCCAGCGCAGTCCTGCAGGGAAAACGCAGCGGTGGCGACTCTCATCTCGCTGGGCGGCGGGTTCGTGGGGCGAGCGCTTCCCGAAGCTCTCCGCAGTGAACTCGGCGGGGATGTGTGACGGGGATGACGGGTCGAGGCACTGCCTTGGGAGCCCTTCTGGAAAGGGGCTTATTTTTACCCCCCTTTCCTTGTGCCTCCCCTCCGGCCTTTCCAGTCCTAGAGCGTGCCTGGGCCCTGCCCTCCCGCACTGCCCCCCGCACGCGCACGGCCACCTCTCAAGGGTTCTCCTGTGATGTCACAGCATCACCATGGCAACGCTCAGTGGTCCCCACCCGTTGCTGCGGGGACTCGGGGAGCTGGCAGCCTCCCAGCCGAGAGAGCGCATTTGTATGCCAGGGTTGTTAATGATGGAGCGGAAAAAACACCCCGGGGAAGGAAGCAGGCAGCCGCTGGGATGGAAATGCCTTGTTTCCATGGAGACGCATGGCGAGGAAGCCACCCCTGGATCCGGCTGCCATTTCCAACCCCCAAAGGGCGTTTGCCGTGTGTGCAGTGGGAGGAAGCCAGTGTGTCTGGGCCTCCCCTAGCCAGGTGGCTGGGGACCCCTGCCCTTGGGTCCCCACCCCCCACAGACCGGAAAGAAAGATGGCCCCGCACGCACCCCAAGATGCAGCAGAGTTTGCCAGGTCTTGGGTGTCTGGGGCAGGTGGTCTCTCAAAGCATCCCTTGGAGGCCACGGAGGGCTTGGCGGGCAGCAGGGCTCGGTCACGTCCCCATCCCGCACACGACACGCGACCCCCAGGCGAGGGCCGCCCAGAAATCTCCACCGGGCTCCGACAGCGCTGGGACTCAGAGGACCAGTGTTAGCAGGCTCCTGAGGGGAGCTGGCGCGGGCTTTTAAAAAAATTGTGGTAAAATACACGTAACATAAGAGCTGCCACTGTAGCCATTTTTAAGGGTGCAGTTCGGTGGCGTTAGATACGTTCACGCCATTGCGTGGCCGTCACCGGCAGCCACGTGCAGAGCTTGCTCACCGTTGCCAGCTGAGACTCGCCCGGGAAACGCCGACTCCCGGCCCCTGGCCCTCGGGCCCGCAGCGACCGTTTTGCCCTCCGTCCCTGGAGTTTGCCTGATTCACGTGCCTCATGTGAGAGGGGTCAGACTCTGTTTGTCCTTCAGTGACTGGCCTGTGTCCCTCGGCATCACGTCCTCGGGGCCCGTTCCCGCTGGACGGGCCGTCGGGCGGGCCTCACGCATCCCCTCGGGTCTGGTGGTCGCAGAACTCCAGCCGTCCGGGAGGGCGTGGCGGCCCCTCAGTCGCCTCCCGGGCTCAGGCTCCGTCCAGCACGTTCCAGCCTGCACCGGGGCTGCGGCCCCCAGCGACCCCGTCCCTTCACCCGGGCCCTCTCGCCCCGCAGGTGCATATCCTCATGGGCTCCTGTTACAAGACCAAAAAGTTCCTGCTGTCCCTGGCGGAGAACAAGCTGGGGCCCTGCATGCTCCTGGCGCTGCGGGGCAACCAGACCATGGTGGAGGTAAGCGCCAGCCTGGGCTGGCCCGGGCTCTCCGTCCCTTCGTCCCCCAGGACAGGGCCGCCGGGAGCCGGGGCGGGAGCCACAGTCGTGGTCCAAGGGGTCGCGGAGGTGTCTGTCGTTTGTCTGTTGCTGCATGACAGCCACCCCCAGTGGGGTCTTTAGGATCACGACACTCATTTGTTTTGCTCGTGGGTCTCGGGGTGCCGAGGCACAGCCAGGCCGTTCTTGCTCGGGGTCTCGTGGTCGCAGGCAGACGGGCTGGGTCGGGCCATCTCTGGAGGTCCCTGGGTTGGCCCGAGGGGACTCAAACAGCCAGGCGGGAGCAGCGGGGGCACCCGGCCCCTCCACGTGTGGCCTTGGGACAGCCTGCCCACCGGCCAAGGAGCACACCCTCTCCCTCCCTGCCCCCCCCCCGTGTCCCCCTCCAAAGTCCCCAGGAGCCTGGGACTCCCAGAGCAACTGTCCTGAGAAACCAGGCAGAAGCCGTGTCACCGTGTTAACTTGGCCTCAGGAGTCGGGTGGCTCATGTCCCCCACACTGTACCCTCTGGAAGTGAGCCACCAAGCTGGCCCTTAGTTTAGTCCAGGGCGTGGGAATGAGACTTCAGCGCTCGGTGGGAAGAGCGTCTGAGAATTTGCAGGCGCTTATGGAAGGAGAGGTCCAGTGAGGTTTGAGCACTGAGGAGGAGTCCGCAGGAAGGCAGGCGCAGGGCCGGCCGTGGGAACAGCATGTGCCAAGGCCCTGCGGCAGGGAGAGGCTTGGTGGAGGCGGGGTGGCTGGAACACAGTGAACCGGGATGAGGAGTTTGGGATCCTGCTGAACATGCGTGAAGAGCCCAGTAGGTGCCCGTGGTGAGGCGAGGAGTTTGGATTTAGTCCTGACTGACCTGTGACGGGGACCGAGGATGGCGGCAGAGGGCTGAGCAGGGAGCATGTTGGCCCAGGCAGGACAGCAGCGTGTGTGGCACGAGGCCGTCCCCGAAGCAGCCTGTGGCGCATGTGCGAGGCCGGCCAGAGCCCCTCCCCGGCGCGTGCTCAGCCCAGGGGCCCCTGGGGGCTGCCGGACGGGCTGCGCGCCTCACCGGCCCACGGTCCTGGGCAGATCCTGTGCCTGATGCTGGAGTACAACATCATCGACAACAACGACACCCAGCTGCAGATCATCTCGACCCTGGAGAGCACGGAGGTGGGCAAGCGCATGTACGAGCAGCTGTGCGACCGCCAGCGGGAGCTGAAGGAGCTGGTGAGTCCGCGGCGGCCAGGCCGGGGCGCAGGGCGGGCGGCCAGAGCCAGCACCCAGGGGAGCCTCGGGGCAGGGCCCAGAACTGTTGTTACGGGGGCACAGGGCGGGTGGCCAGAGCCAGCACCCAGAGGTGCCGCGGGGCAGGGCCTAGAACTGTTGTTACGGGGGCGCAGGGCAGCCAGAGCCAGCACCCAGGGGAGCCTCGGGGCAGGGCCCAGAACTGTTGTTACCCGGGGGCGCAGGGCGGGCGGCCAGAGCCAGCACCCAGGGGTGCCGCAGGGCAGGGCCCAGAACTGTTGTTACCGGGGGCGCAGGGCAGGCGCGAGAGCCAGCACCCAGGGGTGCCGCAGGGCAGGGCCCAGAACTGTTGTTACCGGGGGCGCAGGGCAGGCGGCGAGAGCCAGCACCCAGGGGAGCCGCGGGGCAGGGCCCAGAACTGTTGTGACCTACACCTGCGCGAGCCCCATCTCACTGAGCATCCTCCATCCCAGGGAGGTGGGGATTATTACCTGCCACCCCCGGGCGATCAGAGATAGGCGCACAGAGGTAAAGAAGCTGGTCCAGAGCCGCACAGCTCATCCTGGCCTGGCCAGAACTCGATCCTGTCCCGCTGGCACTGCCCACCCTGCCTCCCCACGTCCCTTAGGCTCTTCCGTTTCAGGGCCTGGGGCCCGCCTTCCAGACACCAGCACCCGCACCTCTGCCAAAGGCTTCCCCTGTCCGCGAGCATGCACACACACGCGTGTGCACAGCAGGACGGAGGGTGGGGTTCCCGCCCTGGCTCCCGACAGAGGGCCCTAAGCACCCCAGGCGCTCACTCTTGGTGGGCTGTCCCTGAGTCTCTGCGATGTGGCTTTTTCGTCGCCGCCCGGAGGGCTGTCCGCAGTGTCCTGCCCAGCCCCACCACCGTTTCACGGGATCACTTCCCAACAAGCCGCCTGCGCCCAAACCCCGTCTCAGGATCCGTCCGAGACCAGGCCCCCCGGGGTGCCTTCCACCCCAGGAGCACGCTGGCGGCTCCCCGAGGGGTGTTGACGGGCGGAGGGGCGGGGCGGAAACGCAGGCAAGCGCGGGAATGACCCGTCCGGTTTCTCTTGCAGCAAAGGAAAGGCGGGCCCACCCGGCTGACACTGCCCTCCAAGTCCACAGTGAGTGGCTGTTCCTGTCTGCGGGCGGCAGGGCTGGTCCTCCCTGCTGGGGAGCAGCGGGTGGTGCCGGGGGAGGTGGCGGGGAGGGGAACAGGGCCCCCGGTACCTGACCGCCCAGCTCTTCCAGGAGGTAACTGTGTTGCAGGAAGAGAAATGAAACCCAAGGAGAGCATTGGAATAGCATGATAAGGATTGCTTGGTGATAATGGTGTTACCATGCGACCGGTTTTGAGTAATAATAACATGGAGCATTTATGTGCCGGATACTGTACTGTTAGTTCATTTTGTCTTCACGACAACCCTATGAAGTACATGGATCTCACCGTTCCCATTTTACAAGGTCTTCAGGGATCTTACTTCCTTCTCTTCTACTGCCGCGTTGTCCCTGACACGTGGCTTCTGCCTCATGGACCAAGAGAGCTGCTCAAGCTCCAGCCACCTTGCCTCCATTCCAGCCAGCAGGAAGGAGGAAGAAGCAAAGGACACACCCCTTCTTCCCTTTAAGAACCTTCCTGGAGGTTCCACTTGACACACCCACTTACATCTCACTGTCCAGGTTTATTAGCACATGGGGCCACACCTAGCTGCAAGAGAGGCTGGTAAGTCAGCGTTAATCAGGGCAGCCAGGCGGCAGCTGACACTCAAGGACGGAAGGGGGAATGGACATTGCCCTCTAGAACTTCATGGTCTAGTGCTCAGTCGTTTGCTGATCTCTTCAGCCACTAGAGTTGAGTGTGGCCTCAGTGTTTGCATGTGGGAAATGGGCACGAGCCTGCTGCCCGGGAGAGTGAGGCAGCCCGTCACACACGCACAGACACACACACGCCTGGGGGAGGAGCGTGGCCTTGGAACACCCCAGGTGGTGACTCGGGGTGAGTCACAGCAACGAAGCCTCTCTCCTCCGCCTGGCAGCTGTCACCTCCCTCCCTGACATCCCCCTTGGTCGGGCCCTCCTGGCCGCACCCAGGAGCAGCTCTGGCAGGGCGAGGGGAGTGCCCCGTGCCAGGAGAGGCGCAGGCGGGCTCGGCGCTCGGGGAGCCCCCGCAGCCCGGACGGCCCGGAGACCCGCTGCCTGTCTCGCGCAGGACGCTGACTTGGCTCGTCTGCTGAGCTCTGGCTCCTTCGGAAACCTGGAGAACCTCAGTTTGGCCTTCACCAACGTAACCAGTGCCTGCGCTGAGCACCTCATCAAACTGCCTTCTCTCAAGCAGCTGAACCTGTGGTCCACCCAGGTGCGTGCTCCCGCCCGCGCCCTCCTCCCTGCCGCACCCCCTCTGCCTGGCCTTTGAGCCCAGAGCCCAGGGGCCCGGCCACCGACAACCACACACCCCTCCCTGGGGCTCGGCGCCCACTCCCCCAGGCCAGAGGCCGTCGCCCTCATGAGGCCCGATGGCCCATGTCTCAGATGGAAATGCTGAGGCCCAGGGCAGGACACACCCAGCACTAGAGTCCTGAGGTGCGGAGCGGGCTGAGCTGTGAGCTGGCTCCCCCGTGGGGGAGTGCGCAGGTGGCTTGCGGGGCTTTGTGTTGTGGCAACAGCCGCAGCAGCCCCGACCCCGCGGAGCCCGGCGTCAGCCCACCTGCTGCGCAGGCGCACCCGGCAGCTTCTGTGGTCCCCGCTGGGCCCGTGAGCCTGGGTTTGGCCGTCGCCCTGGTCTTGCAGAAGAGAGCCTGGGCCGGTCCCATCAGCCCCCTGCCCCTGGGCCTAGCGCTACGCTTCCCACTGTCTCGTCCAGCGGGAGAAGCCACCAGGGTGCCATCGGCAGCTTGGGAGTCGCTGAGTTCAAATCCCCCCTCGAAGGAAGCAAAACTGACTCCCAGAGAATGTCCTTGCCCGGCCCCCGGGGATTCTCTGGGGGATGTGAGAGCCGCCCAGCCCCCAGTCTTGGCGGGCCGTGGCTCTGTCCCCGTCCTCGTCCTCCGCCTCTGCCCCAGCCCCGGCGTCGTTCCTGGGCTGGCCTGGAGGGGCTGAGGGTCTCTGTGCCCCGCAGTTCGGAGACGCCGGCCTGCGGCTCCTGTCGGAACACCTCACCATGCTGCAGGTGCTGAACCTGTGCGAGACCCCCGTCACCGACGCCGGCCTGCTGGCCCTGAGCTGTGAGTACCCGGGCCGCCTCACTCGGCCCTCCCGCCCGCGAATGCCGGCTGAGCGCCACGTCCCGCAGGGCGCTGCGGGAGCGGACTCGCTGGGTCACTGCGCAGGTGCTGCCGCACGCCCCCCAACGCTGCGTGGGGGCCGGGAGCAAAACCCGGGGAGTGTGGCTCTGCCCTCACGGAGCTTCCGGTCCAGAGGGAACAGAGTGGGTGGGCCGGCCCGCCGTGCCCTCTGACACCCACAGTGCACCAAGGGGCTGAGGTCGAGGACAGCGCCCCAGACGTGGCCGCTGTGGTCCCCGGCCAGCAGTGGCAGCACCCCTGGGAGCCGGTCGGAAATGCACATTCACGAGCCCCAGACCTCCTGGCACAGACGCGGCGTGGCACCCGGGTGCCCGGCGGTCCCTGTGCCCGCTGACGTTTGGAAGTGCTGCCGGAGCAGAAACCTCCGCAAAATACTCACGCGACCCAGAAACACCGAGTCCTGTGCCCAGCCCTGAGCGGCCGGGCTGTAATCTCGGGACACTGAGTCTGGGAGCCTGCAGACCCGTTGGTTTAGCTGGGAGGGGTCGGAGAAGGCTGCCCCCGGGGAAGGCTGCACTCTCAGGTCTGGGTGTGAAGATGGCTTCGTCGCACTCGGCCAGCGGGGGCAGCCGGAACAGCGGCCTCGACTCCTGCCAGGCCGCTGGCGAGTTCTGGGTGGCTGGGGGTGGGGACAGGTGCCCGGGTCCAGGCAGGCAGAGGGTGAGGTTTGGAGCTGGCTCTCTGCAGATGTGCCCCTTGACACTTCCGCTGGAGTGACACGGGTGGGGGTGAGCGTGTTCTGGTTAACCACGCGCATTCCCGGTCCCTGCACCGCTCCCTCCGTCCGCCCACCCGGGAGCCGGGACCCGCTGCCCGTGCGCCTGGCTCGGCCGGAGGCGGAGGCTTGCCTCCCAGAAGCTGGGCCTGGGTCAGCAGCTACTGGGAGGGTGTCCAGGGCTCCCTTGGAGGAAGGCCCGGGCCGCCTGCTGGTGCGGACAGCGAAGGGACATGACAGAGGGATGGGAAGGGAGGGCGGCTGGGAAGAGGACGGAGACTCAGTTCAGACCGGCCCAGGCCTGAAGGCGACGGTCTGTGCCGAGTGGGCACCACCCTGCTGTGCCCACGACACCCCCGCGCCACGCCTCCCACGAGGGGGCTGGGCACCTGCGGTCAGCCCCCCAGCAGGGCCGTCCCACACCTGCCGCCGCCCCTGCAGGCTCTCCCCCACCTGACTTCTGTGTCTGTCTGTCTGTCCTCGTGCAGCCATGAAGAGTCTCTGCAGTTTAAACATGAATAGCACCAAGCTCTCGGCCGACACCTACGAAGATCTGAAGGTAACTCCTCCCTCCCTCCCTGTCGGCCTAACCCTGGCAGGGGAGTCCCCAGGGCAGGCGCTGTCGCTCCAGCAGAGAGATGAGTGGTGAGGTCAGGTTGAAAGGAGCCGTGGAGAGGAAGCCAGTGGGGAGTTCATGGGTGGGACCGAGGGAGGCCTGTGTGGCGTGGGACAGTCAGGGACTGGGACAGCCAGGGACGTTCCTTTGAAGAAGGGGCTGAGAAGCGGGAGACGCAGGGGCGAGAGGAAGAGCAAGGTCCCACAGCTGAAAAGCTAGGTGAGACCTGACCTTGCTGCAAACACAGCGGGGGGCGGAGGGGACAGGCTGGGCCAGCCTGGAAGCCCTCGGATGTCTCAGCAGGACTTGGGGGGGGGACGTGCAGGGGTCTGGCGCGGCCGTGCTGGGCTGGCGAGATAAAGCCGGGGAAGGAAGGGCGATGGGAGTGGTGGCCGGTGGGGCACTTGTTTGTCAGAAAAGCACGTCCTGGGCAGGCCGGAGGAGCCGGGCATTTGCCGCCCCCCTGGGCCTGCGCCAGCCCCTGCAGGGGGAGCCGGCGAGGCCGCAGAGCGTCAGTGCTCTGCTGGGGAGGGCTGCGCCTGGAGGCAGGAAGGCACAGGTGGCGCCCTCAAGCCGTGCTGGCCCCTTCGCGCCCTGGAAGCCACGTGGAGGGAACCCTCTGGCAGCCCTTGGCCGAGGTCCTCCGCCAGCAGGGACGCAGGCCGGCCCTGCCAGTCTCCACCTGCCACTCTGCCAGGCGTCCCGTGGCCGGGCGTGCGCGCTGGTCAAGCCTCCAAACACTTTCCGAGCAGCTCCCGTGTGCCAGGCTGCCGGGGTTGGGGACACTGAGGCGCGGGTGCCATGATCCCTGCCCAGGAGGACGCCCCGTCCTGGCAGGCACAGACAAGCGTAGCAAACCAGGGCAGGCCCAGGGCTGTAGGGGTCAGCCAGGAGGGGGTGGTCGGCAGGGGACCCAGGGAAGGACACAGGCACAGGTGGCAGAGCGCCCCCGAGGAGTTTAGGGGACAGAACTCAAAGTGGGGCCGTGGACCCGCCGCAGGCATCACTCGGGGCTGTGGGGGATGCAGGTCCCCGCCCCCAGCCCGCTGTGTCCGCTGCAGCCTCACCAAAGCTGGGACGCGCAGCCTCGGAGCGTCCCGAGTTCAGAGCGCCACACATCCAAGCGCCACTGAGACCAGGCGGGAAAGGGGGGAGAAAAACCACATTCAGTCAATTTTTTTTCACACACTGAGAGAGACTCTGCAGCAGCCCGGTGGTGCTGGCCTTTGACCAGCCTCCATGAGCCAGGGGACTCTGAGCAGACGGGGGACTGCCGGCCCGCCCGTCAGGGGAGGTGGCCGCCGCCCAGCGCCAGGCAGGCAAAGCCGCATAGGTCACTGCCCAGTCTGGCCAGACCTTCCTGTTTTCCCAGAGAACATGGAAATCCAGATTCTTCTGTGCAGGCTCCTGTTTTTGAAAGGCCTTAATGTGCTTCACGGCACCGCAGTGGCGACTGCCGGTCCCCAGCCCGTCCCCTCCGTCTGGGCAGGGGAGGGGCCCAGAGTTGTGGAGCGCAGGAGAGCAGCAGCGAGGACTGCGTGCACGAGTACGTGTACGTGTGGCGTGTGCGTGTGCGCACGTGTGTAGCGGTGCACGCATTAAACAACCGTGCTGGCCAGTCAGTCTGCAGCGTAGTCGGGGAGGGGGTCGCAGGGCAGGAGACCAGTGAGGGGGCAGCTGCCTCTGCGGACAGCGGAGGCTTGTTAAGAAGGAAGCCAGCTGTCTGTAACAGCAGGCGGGGAGGGTCTGGCAGCAGGAGCAGGGCGCAGGAGACGGCGCTGAGAAGTAGCAGGTGGGGCCGTGGGGTGGCGCAGGGGACCCGGCTCGGGGGAGCCCGCGTGGGGAGAACCCGAGCTGCCCCCGGGGCCTGGGCTCACTGTGACCCACCTCGTGCCCCTGCGCGTCTCTGACAGTGACGGGGACACAGCTGGCACGGAAATGACAGTAGTTCCCTTCGCAGAGCACAGAACGGCGCCCTGGGCTTTCCCTGCGCCTGGTGTTACATCCCTGGCACCGTCCCTTGGGCCAGGGACCAGGCTCGGGTGACGCCACACAGCAGGACACTTGGGCTCCCAGGGCCGGGTCGCCCGCCCAGGGCCACGCAGCCGGCAGGCGGCAGAGCTTCCAACCCCGGCCCTTCCGCCCGCCAAGCCAGCGCTGCGAAGGCGAGGGCGGCGAGGGCGTGCAGCCCCGCCACCTGCCTGGTTTCTCGGGCACCTCGCACCTGCCCTGTGCTCTGCCTGGGGCCCCCACGGCGCGGGCGGGAGAGCGTGTCCCCGAGCGAGTGGCTCACGTGTGACGAGGACCTCTCCTGCCGCCCCGCAGGCCAAGCTCCCCAATCTGAAGGAGGTGGACGTGCGCTACACGGAAGCCTGGTGAAGCCCCGGCCGGCGCGAGGCGGGAAGACGTCTGCGACAAGACAACTCTTGACTAATAGCTGTAGAACGGCCGGTCCTGGGGGCCGCCCGGCGCCCCGGCTGTGAGATAGATGGGGGAGTCTTTCTGGGGGCAGAGGGGGGAGGGGGTGGGGAGGGGTCCACAAGCACGCCCAGCCCCCGCCTAATTCTTTTAGCTTTGTCATTGGAACCTTTGACCTGATCTCAAGTGGACTTTGTAGCAACAAGAGGAGCATCAGCGGGTCGGGGAGGGGGTGGGGGGAGGGCCTGGGGCGGGGGACCTTCGTGGATTTTCTTTGCCTTTGTGTTTGACGCCGTGTGGGAAGAGTCAACCCTGTCGCCGCCGCTGGGGCCGGGCGGAGGACGTCTCCTCCTTCCGAGGCCACGAGCTGCGCTGAGAGCCCGCCCCACCACCACGCCGTCGGGACGGAAGACCCAGTCAGTCACTGCACCTGTCCCGTGTCCTCACCATTGCTATGCAAAGTGGTTCTTGTTGTACATAAGAGTTAAATAATGCACCTATTTAAGACATGTTGACAAATTGCGGGTCTGGGACCCGCCTCTTATCTTATTTATAAAGTCTTTGACCCTCCCCGCCCGCCCGCCGCCCCCTGGCGTGTAGTGCTGTGTAAACCAGTCGCCTGTCGGGTTAGTGGTAGTACTCTGGTTATTTTTTTTAAAAGGAAACAGACAAAAAAAAAGAGAGAGAGAGGAAGAAAAAAAAAAAGAACCTCCTTGGAAAAATCAATCGCTTTTTCGTAATGGTTTCTCTATGCTAACGCTCTCTCGTCTGTCTGTCCCCCGCCCACCCGCCACTGTGTTTCTGATTTCCAGGTGTCTCTGGCGTCCCCGTGGGGTGGGGTCCGGCCAGGGAGAGTAGGGGGACGGGGGGTCCCCGGGCACACACAGTCTTGGCCCTCGCAGGCCCCGGCTCTCCCTCCCGGCCCCTCTCTCAGACTCAGACTGGACGGGGTGCCGCCCGCCCTCCCCGCCCGCCCGGTCGCGGAGCTGGCCCCGTCCCCGACCCGGACTGCCGCCGCGGGCCCCCTGCCGCCGTGTGCTCCACGTGGCCCCCGTGCATGCCCGCCTCTCTGCATGGTCTCCTGGGAGAAGAGAGAAGCGTCGCCCCGACTGCCCAGCCCCCCCAAACGTGACCACTGCGACGAAGACGCCCCCCGCCCCCCACCCGCTCCGAAGACGAGCCAGCATCCGTTTCTTTTATAGACAGTCGGCTTTTTCTTAACAGGCCCTCACTGTACAGAGCAGCCCGTTCATGGTTTACCTGGGGTCCCCTCCGCCCCCGGCCCCCTCTTTCTGTTGGTTTAGCACAAATACTTAACCCCCTCCGGCACCTCAGACCCACCCCACAGTCAGTGTAATTGTTTTATATATATTTAATCTTATTCAATGGAAACCATGCTTTTGTCGTTTTATACTTTGCTAGGTAGACTTTATTACCCCCCTACGATGCCCTCATTTTTTTAAAAAAGGAAAAAAAAAAGAAATTGGGTTTTCAGTCTTAATTCATTTTACGTGCCAGGTTTTATTTCGTGTGCGTGTGTGAGTGTGTTCCGTTCTGTGTTCCGTTTCCCGCTGTCGTTGTTTCTGTCGTTCGGTTTTTATTTTCCTCCCCTCTGGTCCCGTACTTCACAGCACTCTGGTGCAGGAAGAAGCAGAAGCAAAACAAAAAAATTTTAAAAAGGAAAAAAAAAAAAAAAAAGAAGAAACAAGACATGCCACCTTTCCCCCTCGCACTGTTGCTTTTCCTGATGGTTAATACTACTGTCACGTAGCTGTGTACAAAGAGATGTGAAATACTTTCAGGCAAAAATAAACTGTAAGTGACTCATCAGTGCCTGGCCTTTCTGTGTGGTGTCGTTGGGGCCGGGAGGCCGGGTGGGGAGGAAGGAGCAAAGCCGAGCGAGGCCCAGGTGGAGGCCCGAGGCAGTGCCTGGACACCCTCCGCGAGGCCCCTCCTGGGCGCCTGGCAACCACTGGGGCTAGACCCTTTGCTGCAGGGGCTGTCCTGCTCCTTATAAGCCACGGGACAGCCTGATCCCTGGCCTCTGCCCACCAGTGGCACCCCTGTCACCCCTTTTGTGACAACCACAATGTCTCCAGACCTTGCCAAATGTCTCCTGCAGGGGCTGGGGAGACCAAGTCACTGCCCAGGTGAGACCCGGGGCTGTAGACCCGGCCGGTTCTGCGTTCAGCAAGGCCTTAAGGACGCACTCACGCAGAGCTCATCAAACGAACGCGCCTTCTCACCCCCCGAGGGTCTTGTGAAAATGCAGGTTCTGATTCTGCGGTGCCGGGCAGGGCCTGGGACTCTGCGTTTCCGACAAGCGCCTGCTGGTTGACCAGAGCCTAGACCCACCCTCCTCTCCCAGTTGTCCCCAAGAGGCAAACTCGGCATGTCCAAGAAGAAACACCTCATCTCCACCCCTCTTCCCAAGCCGGTCACCTTCCAGGGTCCCCAAGCTCAGCAGAGGCTTCCCCAGTGACCCTCAGCTGGGGTGTGCCCTGCCCCTCGTGTGCCTGCCGAGGTGACTCCAGGAAGCCTGTGTCTGTCCTCCGCCTCCTCGCCCTAAGCCGGGCCGTGGCCATCTCTCCCCGATGGCTGGAGCTGCTCCTGCTGTCCCCCAGCCCGTTGCTCCCACACCAGCCATCCAGCCCCCTCTGCCTCCTGCTCCACCTCTGCACGCCTCCCCCCGCCCTCCGGAGCGCTCTGTGGCCCTTGGGAGAACGGGAGGGTGTCAGTCACTCGGTGTGTGCCCACCTCGGTCGCTCAAGGAGGCCCTGGACCTGCAGGGGTGGCAGGACAGTCCTCACGCCAAGCAGGGACACCAAGTGGGACAATCCAAAAAGCCCTTGGGTCCAGGAGCTCCCATACCCCGGCCAGGTGGCCTTGGCTTCAAGATGGCTGGCTCCAGGTACACACGTGTGTGCACACTCGGTGCGTCACTGCCACCCGCTCCGTCCCTGGTCCTCCCCACCAGCACGGATGGAGGGTGGCCCTGAGCCCCCTCCCCGCTCTGCCCTGCTCGTCATCTGGGCTCCTTTGCTGGCGGGGCCTGGAGAAGGCAGGTTACCTGCTGGAGAAGGCGGAGGAGGAGGAAGAGAAAGAGGTCAGGTTTCCTCCCCCTCGGCTTCCCGGCCTCTGCGTCCCCGTTTCTGGCCAGACTTGCTTCCGTCTGTGGGCTCAGCCCCCGCCACGGTGCCAGCTCTCGGAGAAACACCTCCCTGCACCCGGCCTTCAGCCGTGGCTGGGAACAGCCCACCGCTAGGTCCCTGGTGCCTCACATGTGCCTCCACCCCGCCCCCCGGAATGTCGCCCCAGCCTCTGTCGCTGGCTGCAGCTGAGCGGCACTGTCCCCTCCCCCTCCCTCCACCCCTGCGGCGGCGGTGGTAGCCCCCCCCCAGCTGCTAGGTTTGGGGAACCTTCACATCCCTTGTGAATCACCCAGCCTGGAATCCGGCCCCCTCACCCCCACTGGACTCTGTGTTCCATGCCAGCACCCTACCTCGATGACCCCACCCCAGTGAACCCCTGTTCCAGTCCCCGATGGGCCCAGTGAGAGTCCAACAGGGATCCGAGTCCCCCGATGGGGGCAGAGGCTTTAATCGGGAAGTTTCAAGGCAAATCCTGCAATGAGGGGAAGCGGTCCCAAGACGGCAACGACTGGATTCTTAGAAGCTGAGCTCTGGGGCCTGCCCAGGTCGGCTGGTGCTTCTCCAGTTGCCCCTCTTGTACTAGGACGCGCTGTCTTCCAGCCACTTAGAGTGTGCACGGCCCTCCCTGGAGCGGTGCAGCGTGGACACCTGGGTAGCCGAGCTGTCATCTGTGACCAACAGCCTGCTCTAAAGCTAGCTGGGCTCTGCAGGAAGTTCCCCTACAGCCCAGCAGGGCAAAGGTCGGAGAACCTTGGACAAAGCCCTGGCCTCATGCAGTCATTCATCCAATCATGCATTCAACAATGCATCGCTGAGCACCTGCTTCCAGCAGGCCGGGTGGGGAGCGCCAGAAAACATGCAAGAAGCAGCAAGAGAACTACAACTCAGTAGCAAAAAAAACCAAATAACTTTTATTTAAAAAATGGGCAAAGGACCTGAATAGGCATTTCTCTAAAGAAATGGCCAAGAGGGATGTGAAAAGGTGTTCAACGTCACTAATCATCAAGGAAATGCAAATCAAAACCACAATCTGATGGCTCCTTACACCTGTTAGGGTGGCTGTTATAAAAACAAAAAAATAAAAGGTAAGTGTTGGCAAGGATGTGCAGGAAAGGCAACCCTGGCACGCTGTCGGTGAGGATGGAAATTGGTCAGGCATTAGGAAAAACAGTGTGGAGCTTCCTCAAAAAATTTGCAAACAGAACTGCCACGTGATGCAGCAACCCTGCTTCTAGGTATGCACCCACAGAAATTGACATCGGTATCTAGAAAAGGCGTCTGCACTCCCGCGTCCACTGCAGGACTATTAGCGGTAGCCAACACGTGGAATCAGCCCAATTACCCATCGACAGGGGAATGGAGAAAGAGATTATGATCGGTGAACACCGTGGAACACTGTTCAGCCTTTTAAACAGAAGGAAATGCTGCCATTGGCAACAACGTAGGTGAAGCTGGAGGACATTGTGCTGAGTGAAATAAGCCGCTTATATGGGGAATTTAAAATAATCGAACTCATAGAAGCAGGGAGTAGAAGGACGGCTGCAAGGGCTGGGGGTGGCGGTGGGGAAACCAGGAGATATTAGTCTAAGGGGACAGAGTGCAAGATGCAAATGCCCCCGAGATCCGCCGTTGCGCTCGGTGCCCGCAGCGAACAGGACTGTGTCGCCTACTTAAAACCGGCTAAGAGGGTAGATCTTATCGCACACACATAACAATAGCAATAATAAATAGGGCGGAGGAAACTTTCAGAGGTGACGGATTTTACTGCACACAGATTTGTGGTGACGGTTTCACAGCTGTGGCCTCATGAAATTGTACGTGTTACATATAGTCAGACCTCAACAGAGTGGTCTGGGAAATGAATAAGCAACAGCGAGAGAGGTGGCCCTTGTCTTCCAGGCATCTGAGCACGCTGGCAAGGACTCAGTCTCCCCGTTGCACAGCAAATGCCGTGACCGGCCACTGTGGCAGGCACAGAGGACGGGCAGCGAGCCTGGGCCTTATGGGATCAGGGCAGACTTCCTGGAGGAGGCGGTACTGTTGAGAATGGAGAATGAAGACGTTTGCCACGTCATCAGAGGAGAAAGGAGCGTGCACAAAGACCTAGTGACACACCAGAGCCGGATCTGCACGGGGGGACTGCCTGTGGACGGTGTGACGGGCTTGGGGACGGGATATTGTTGGGCTTGAATTTTATCCCCTGAAGAGAGATGTCCCACTGGCGTCCCCGGGGGCCGCTTCCCACACGAGGCACCTGTACCGGAATCTATCCCGGTATCTGCTTCTGGGGAGCCAGGACGAAGACAGTGACTGGCGGTTAGAGGAAGGAGCAACAAGGAGAGCTGGGAAACCGTTGCCAGGGAGACCGTGCGGTCGCCAGGTATGCCTTCCCGGACCCTTAGCGACACGGGCACCCCCCGATCACGCTGGGAGCCTGAGAATCAGCTTGGACTGTGGTTTTCAGAGATGGGGCGGCCGGTGGAAGAAACTCCCATGCGTCGCTGGTGGGGACATAAACTGGTTCCACCTGCTAGCCCTAA